GGAAATTAAAATTTAATTTTATAAAGAAAGTTAATCAGGGAGTTGACCAATGATTTGACTGACAAGTACCAAACCTGCCTACCTCATGGTTGTGTTACTGTGGGGTGTATTTCAAAGTATGATCTATGCTACTGTGAGGAGGGCACTTTAAGGCAGGATCTCTGTTACTGGGGGGGGAAGTATTTCAGAGTAGGACCTATGTTACTTCATGAGGGGTATTGCGGGGCAGGATCTATGCTACTTAGAGGGAGAGGTCAGGGTCAGAAGATGTTGGTATGTGTGTGGACATTGCTGGTGAGAACTCTGATTTGCATCCAAAGCTGGTGAGAGGCCATGAGGAGGTTACAAGGTCACCAGAAAGTTCATGAGCAGAGCCTTCTGCCTGCCAGTTGTGGGGAAGGCTGACTGAAATAAACAAAATATCTGCATTTTTAATAAAGAAATCAGACTGCTATAGGTAAAGAAGCCTCTTAGTAACATCCCACCCCAAGACTGCATTTCTTCTGGGTGTGGACCTGCTCCCCAGTGAGACACATCCAGGGAGGCAGGTGTGAGGGGTGGTGGTGGTTGAGAAGTGGGGTTGGGGGTGACCAGACGAAAGGCTGGGCAGGTATGTTTCTGAACCTGTGTGTCCTCTCCATGCAGAGGTAAGGCTCTCCAAGACAGCACCACAGACTCCTGAAACCCCACTGTTCCCACGAGGTCCCAGGAATGCTGTGACGGGGCTGGTAGTGGGAGGTGAGGAGCAGGGCCAGGGGAGTGCAATTTCTCGGGGGTCCTCAGAGACCCTGGAGAGAGGGGAGGGGGGAGAGCAATTTCTCGGGGGTCCTCAGAGACCCTGGGTCAGAGGCTGCCTGAGGGCCAGAACAGACAGGGCCTTGACCCAGGCAAAATTTTATAGTGAAATCATTTTACATTTACCTTGAAAAGGAGGAGAGAACTGACTCTCACTACATGTGTTCTATGTGACAGTTTATACATAACACATTTAATGTTCCACCAAAATCCGAAGTTGAATGTCAGGAATGCCAGCTGCATGCCCGGTACTCTATTTGCGTGCTGTAGGTTGGGCTCACTTATGGTTCTCAAAGTTACTGCAAAGTGGACCCTGGGTTGAAATGCAAAATGCATGCACCCTGGAGCACATGCTGCTTGGTCTAGACAGTGTGACCTCTGCTTAACCCCTGCCCCGGGGAGGAGTAGCTTGCCCCAGTTCAGAGAGCCCCTAGGGGGCACCTGACTTGGCTGCTGCTCCTAGTGTAGAACTGATGCAGTGACATGATGACATATTTAGGGGTACAGGGCTTTGAGCAAAAAGATATGTACACACCAGAGTATATTCTGTATTGGGGGGAAATGAACTTTTCTTCCTAAACTGCAAGAATACCTGCTTTCCATTCCTTTTTCTTCTTCCCATATTTAAAACATCATCCCCCTGTTCCCTCTTGTATGTGTCATGTTTCCATGATATTTATGTTTTCACCTTTTCCCCTGAGACCTGAAGCCTGTGCCCTGGGATCCTTTAATTTAAGGTGTCTTCTCTAAACCTCAGGATAACCCTATAAGGTAGGTGGCACAGCCTCGTTTGAGGGATGTTGAAACTGGAGGTCAATGGTAGGTGAGTGGAACCAGTTGGGGAAGACCCATTGAGTCCTCTGTGGGCACATGCAGGCCATGTGAGGACGCTGTGGTGATACAGGTATTGCCTCTCTGTTCAACTCAGCTTCCACAATAAGAGGAACCACCACCTGGCTAGATGAGGTCAGGGGCTTCTGTCACCACCCCGCCCTTTCCTTCTGTCACCTTGCCTTCTGGTGTGCCTTCGAACCCACCCGGGTGTTACAGTGTTTCTTCTCTGGCCGCACTCTCATTGGTCTGCCATAGCGCATCCCCATTGGCTGTGGGGCTGGGGACACACCGCAATTGGTCCATGCCCACGAGCTGAGGTACTAGGTCTGGTAGGTGGCAGGGGCAGAAGCCCTGGTTTCCACTCTGACTGGCGCAAGGCCCGTGATCACTGTCATCGCAGTCACTGCTCTCAGGGTTTCACGCGGCTTCCTGCATGTTCGGGGAAAGGGGACGTCGTGTGCGTGGGTGCCCATTCCTCCAAGTGTGAGTATCACTAGAGGCTGAGGTTATAGCACCCACTCACCTCCAGAAAGGTGCACTTGGCTTGTGGGTGTTTTTTTACATGCGAATTGAGTCAAGCCGGTGCCTCTACATAGGTGAACATTTAGGTCAGGGGCCAGACTTTAATACACACGTTCGAATATGTCATCGTGACTACCTATATATTTCAGAGAATGACGTGGGACTTTTTTTTTTGCATAGGTTGATCTGATAAGTTTGCCTAAGGTTTGAATGGATCACCTTCTAATGTTTAAAAATGATTCTGAGTCTTCACGGCTATTACAACGCCAATTTCCAGACCCTGAGGATGGAGTCTCAGACCATATTCTACACTGCGCTAATACCTTATACTGCTGGTAGTTGTGTCCTGAACACGCTTTGCATCGGTATAGGACTTTTGGGGAAAAAAGGTTTGTTGGTGTTTGTAACTGTTTTTAAGTAAGAGATGATTTCTTCATCCCATTTTTAGTTAGGCCCCCCAGACCTAGCAAAAGAGCCAACCTTGGAATAAGGCTGAAGCAGATCCTGCCCTCCCCTCCCCGATCCTAGACTGTGACTTCTGTGGCACTTGTCCTGGGAGATCCGTCCCTTCACACAGGCACTGACGGGACAGACTTAACTTTATTATTGCAACAAAGAGCTCTGTCTGAAAAATATCAGCCTGAGCTCTAGTCAGGTCCACCGCGCAAGTCCGAAAAGATCATTCTAAAAGAATGTTTTGGGGCGAATCATAGCAAATCATTCCTAGAGGAGAGCAAAAGGCAGCATTTAGGAGCAGGATATTTAAAATTGCATGAGGTCTAATCAGGTTCAACACCTAGTTGGCTTGATTCCCGCCTAAAGCCGTGTGTAAGGATTGTCTCCAGTCTTCCGTGTGCCCCACCCCCACCCCCAGTGTCTGCCAGCTCCGGACTAGGAGCCTGCCTGAGGCAGGCGGGGTGAGGTGGAAGTCACAGCTCCCTGTTGCTGGGCAGGATGCTCTAGCGCCACCTTCTCCCCTAGCGGCGGCAGTGAAAGCTGGCCCCAGAGATAGCAAGTAATGGGAGGGTCTGCCCCCTATAGGAGAAGCAGAAAGCTGCACCCTCAACCAGTGACTAGATATTTCACGGGTGTGTTAGGACGGAAGCCTGGGAGGAAGCCCAATTTAACAGGATTAGCACTGGGTGAGCTCCAGACGCTCTACAGCGCAAAGGCCTTTGGTAGTACTATTTCTAGACTATTAGAGAAGTCGAGATCCTGGGAGGGCCCTAGTAGTTTTACCTCCTTTCACTGACTTAAATTCCATGGTGTTCAGACACATTCATTTTTCTTTAATTTAAATAACTTAGGAGAGCCTGTGTCCTGAGGTTCAGACGGTTCTCACGTTGCCCTAGGCAGGTCAAACCCTTTGCTGTTTCACTTTGCTTCCTATGAAAGATTTGCTAGTGTCTGGAAACTGGAGACCAAAAGGGTGCTTTCCTCCCCATGCTGATGGTGTGACTCCTGGAAATAAAGGTCATGGCAGCTCGAAAGGGCCAGTGCAGGCAAACTACAGTGGCGCCCACTTGCCATGTTCCTGCTGTGGCTCTGGGAAGCAAACCCCGGGCAAGTAGACACCCTGCTGAATGCCACATTTTTGTTGGGATTTGCTTTCTGACCTAGAAGGCATCTTCAGATGCTACACTGCCTGATCTCCCCCCTAGAACTTAGTGGAAGCTATCTCCCACCTCCCTCAGCGGTATTCCCTCTGCAGAGGAGAACCTGTTCCCAGCTCCTGCTAGCGGCAGTGCTTTGAGGGAAGTGTTGCCATGCATACGCTAAAATCATGAAAGTCTCAGAATGATCTGGGGGCATGTTGCCCATCAGCTGCCCGGGCCCACCCCACTAGCTTCAGATCCACTGTTTTCAAGGTAGGGCCCGGGCATGTATGTTTTCAATAGCTTCCCCAAGTGACTGACGTACACCAAACCTGGCTTGAGGTCACGCATTGTCCGTGCACAGCAGGACTGAGCTCAGGGAAGCATGGCCACAGTGAAGACCACCCATCCCAGTTCACGCAAAACTCCGCACTGAGCACCTACCGGGCTCCAGAGGTGATGAGGACACGGCCTCCAGGTCCAAAGAGCTGGCAGAGCAGTGGTGGGTGAGCACCTGGTGCAGGGGTCCACGCATCAAGTGAAAGACATTGGTCCTTGTCTCTTACTAAAACTGTTAGGTATCAGTCCCAGAATCGCCTGCCCTAGAGAAAGGCTCCTGGTCCATACATTCAGATGTAACAAAGGACGACGTGATGATCACCTTCAGAACCCTCCAGAAGCAGGACAAGCCAAACCCACTCCTCTGTCGTCGTGCGACTTTTTGCTTTCACAGGTAGAACAGTGCACTCTCTCTCTCTCCTTTTTGAGGAGCATCTAAAGAATACGCCGCGATGAATTTTTTTTTTTGCATCTATACACCTGTGGTACCACTACCCGAACCACAGTGGGATGCGTTCTGGTGCTAGGAAAGACCTCACAGGGTGCGCCACATACCTATTCAGCTTTTAACAGACTGTAAAGAATAAGATCTCAGGGTACAGTCTGCTCTCCATGGCCACAAAAGTCCGTTAACAAGTACCAGGTGAGTACCTGCAATGTTCTGGAAACTTCCTGGGGTAGAGCAGGAGTGTCCTTCACTCATAAGTCGCATAGGAGCAGGCTTGTGTTTTTAGGAGTCGAACTTAACAAATTTTGGGTCATCTGCTGCTCATGACATATCCATTATTAATTCTATTCATTGGTCTGGGATCCATTACTTTCTTCCTGCTTCAACCTGCCTTCCCTTTTCTTTAATATTGTATCTTTATTGTGTAGGGCCTCCCCCAAAAGCATGATATTGCCTTGCAGATTTTAATGGCGACCTCTGGTGAAGGCAGCGACCGCAGTGGCAGAATGATGGCCCGGCCCCTGGCGCAGGTGCGGCAGCTGGAGACTCGGGCGGCCCGCAGACGCCTGTCCCAGGCCCGCCACCGGGCTACTCTGAAAAGACTCTTCAATAACCTCAGGAGAATCGTTTACCACCAGTCTGATATCACAGCCTCAAAGGTATGCGGTCCTGAGTGTGGGGAGGGAAAGTTTCTATAAAGGGAGGGGCTGTGGAGCGAGGTGGGGACTGGCTGGGAGATGCCACTCCCCCCATCCCTGCCCCTGAGAGCTGGGGCCTGCCTGGGTGGGTCGGGGACTCTGCCTGCTGCTGTCTCGCTCTGCTCTGTGCGTGTCCTGCTCCACGAAGCTGAAGCCGAAGCCTCTCGGTCCTTCTAGCTGGAATCAGTCCCTCCTCCCGTGCGCTTCTGCAGCTCTTTGCTTCTACCCCTGTCAGCACTTCCCGAAATCTAGTTTGTGTTACAAGTAGTCGCTTCCCTGCTTGTCTTCCCTGTTGGCACGTCAGCATCCTGAGAGCAGGGGCTGTCATATCTGCTCTCCGTCCCCAGGCCCAGTGCACAGGGGCGTCCCCTTAGACATACACACCTGGTGAATGTATGTCACTCTAGGCGGTGTCAGTGGTCAGCCCAACAAGCAGTGTTTAGCAGTTCTTGCTCTTGAATAATCTCGCCGTTAGCATTTTGACTTTGGCAATATTACAGGAAGGAAGGGAAGGGAGGAGTGTGAGAGGGAGGGAGGGAGGGATGCTTGTGATTCTGTCTTGCAGAACAGGAAGTTCAGAGTTCAAGTTGACAGAGCATTTATGTTTTTAGATCAACTGCAGTGTCTGCACTTAGCGAACAAAAAATATTGTTAGAGGAGCGCATTTAATACCAGCCAGGCAGTTGCACGTGGGGACAAGTGAGCAGGAGTTAGTTGGGAGCCTGGTGACAGCACGGGGCTGATGTTCATTCAGGTCCCCTCTGAGTCACTACTTATTCCACCTTCTAGTAGCGGAGGTAGTTGTTTGCCCTTTTTGCAGCCCTAGAGTTTGCTGAACGCAGCTTAATAGCTTCCGAACACTCGTGGTGAGAACCATTTCCAGAATACAAATTGAACTTCATGTCTTCTGCTCATCGGAATAAACTTCCCACCCTTTTTACCGACCACATGAAGGACTACGACTTTGTATCCGAGGGGGCGTGGCCTGAGACCCTGGAGGGGGCTCCTGTGCCCACCAAAACTGTCTGTGCTGTGAGCGGCTGACCTTTCAGCTTTGTCCTTCTCTGTCCTCAGTGGCAGGTTTTGAACAGGGCGAAGAATCATATTCGGGAACAGGAAAAAATCTTGGATCATCTGCTGAAGGTGAAAGGTAACAACAGGTCCTATCTGCCGCCCCCATTGCCCTCCCAGGGGGAGAAAGCTTGGTTGGATTTTCTATTGAAAACAGAGACATCAGGTTAAGCCAAATGAACGAATATTTACTGAGTGCCTACTGTGTGCCAGGCACTGTGCTTGGGCCAGGATACGATGAGATTCACAGCCTGACCTCAGAGGTCATCAGCCTGGGCAAGCATGATGAGATCCCACTGGGGTGCCGTTGAAGGAACCTGATCTTATCTTGAGTGGCCAGAGAAGAAATGAGCCTGTGTGCGTCAGAACAGGGCTCCCTTCCTTGGCGCTCAGTTTGGGACAGATGGCTGCTGGGAGTTTGAGTTTAACGAGCTGGTGGAACCCGATCTCTAAAAGGGACACTTTGGATGTCCTGATGGAGACTGGCCAGTCCAAGAAGCCCTTCCCCCTCACATCTGGAAGGAGGAGTGAAACTGGGCTCTTGAGTCGCTAACACTGAACCCTGGGTGGGCTCAGGGACCACCCATGCTCCCCCCTGGACCAGAAAGGCAGGAGAGACCCGGCAAAGGCCTGGCTTTTCCCTTCATGACCCTTGGCTTCAACTCCCCAACAGAATCCTTCAACCTGGAGGATGGGAATGCAAACAGCTTAGAGGAGGTCAAGGAAATGTATGCCAACATGTTCTCCAGAAATCACAGGTAAGACCAGGAGAACTGGTGCCAGCCGGCGTCTTACCCTTCTGTTGTCCCAGAAGCCCCGCTTTCCGTCCAGAACTCGGGACAGCGGAAGAGGGGCTGCCCTCCCGTTGAAAGCCCTCCTGTGCTGGAGAGAATTCTTTTCTATTTTGATCTAATAACAGGAATGACATCTTTTTATCAGAAACATTATTTTCAGACACATACTTATCACAGAAAGTGTCAAAAATGCAGAAAAGCTTAAAAAAGAAAATACAAATGCATATTGTTTCGCTTCTCAGGGAAAACCAGTGTTCATTTTAAAGCATAGCTTTCTGTTTTTTTTTAAAAAATTTTTGCATGTTATTTTATAGAGCAATGAGATCATGGTGTTTATTTTCTATTATAACTTTAAAAAACTCAGCTGGTGACCTTACTGAAGGAAGAGGAAGAAGAGGAGGAAGAAGTGTGCGTATTTTGTATATGAACATAAGGAAAATCCGCGCTGGCTGGTGTGGCTCAGTTGGTGGGGCATTGCTCTGCAAACTAAAAGGCCACCAGTTCAGTTCCTGGTCAGGGCACGTGCCTGGGTTGCAATTCAGTCTCCAGCTGGGGGCGGGGGAGAGGCAGCCACTCAGTGTTTCTCTCCCTCCCTTTCCCTCTCTCTCAAAATAAATAAATAAAATCTTAAAAAGAAAAATCCAAACCTCAGCCTATTTTCCAGGCTTCACAGGAGCCTAAGAAAAGCCAGATTGGACTCGAGAGACCAGGAAACCAGAGCACCCCCGGGTGTCGCTGATGCTGAAAGGGGGACCCGTTTAGAATGTCACACTCAAACTGGGACAGACTGGCCTGAGAAATGTCTTTCTTTGCAGTTGGCGATCTCATCTGTTATGTTTAGCTCCCGTTCCAGCTGGGCTGTTCATGGATACACGCCCTCCTGGGCTCCCAGGGTGCCGTCACCCTCTGAGCCAAGTCCTCATCCTGCATAGCAGCCTGGACTTCGGGGGGTGATGGCTGGGCCTGCGTCATCTCTGGTGGCCCCAGGGCACGTCCACACAGTGGATATCCAGACTGGCCTCTGATGAGACCCAGGAGTAGAAGCAATTCTGCTCACTCTGGAAATGGGACCGCCAACGGCTTATTGTTTAGAAACTTCCCAAAGCCTGCCTAGATGAGGTGGTATCCCATCGCCTTGGGTGGTGGCATCACTGAAGATATTTATTTTCTTCTCTGTGCTTTTCTATATTTTCCAAAAATTTTAAATTTATTTTTAAACAGAGGAGAGAGGGAGAGAAACATCAATGTGTGGTTGCCTCTCACGCAGCCCGCACCAGGGAACCTGGCCCACAACCCAGGCATGTGCCTTGACTGGGAATCCAACCAGCAACCCTTCATTTCACTGGCCGGTGCTCAGTCCACTGAGCCGCAACCAGCCAGGGCTGTATTGTCTAACATTTTTAACAACAAATGTACATTTTATCTTAATGGGAAGCAACCAGGGGGATATGATAAATTATTAAATTAAATTCACATTGTAGACCATGTAAGATACAGAAAAGTATAAGAAAAGACATGGCCGCCTATAACTGCAGTCTGTACACTGTGTTGGCCTCAGAGAGGAGGAGGCAGGTGCGGTGTGTGCGTGTGGTGTGTGTACATGCAGGACGTGGTGTGTGTGTTGTGTGTACGTAGCAGGGTGTCTGTAGCTGAATTCTGCAAATCTAAGTGGGCCCACTGCGTAATCAGTCTGGGAGATGCTCTCGGTGAGGTGGGTGCCGGCATCAGTATTTCCCAAAGGGTTAGCAAGTGATCCCCACCCCATTCACTCCACGAGCCATCCTTTCCCTACTGGTTGAAGATACGAACTTTATCACATACTGAGGTCTTATCAGTATTCACGTGACTTGCGCTTATGGAAATGGCTACATTTCTTTGTTTTATTTTTTAAATTTTATTTTTGAATTATGGTTTGGCTACATTTCCTTTAAAATCAAAATAATTAGGGAGGATTTTTCACTAGTAATATTATAAACCTGCAATAGTTAAAACTGTGCTACCAGCTTAAGAATACATTAATTACATGCTAATTATTACATATTTATTACAGATAATTACATTTTATAATTATCGTATTATAATTAGTTCATTAAATTGCAAGTGAGCTTGAGTGCCTTTGTTCAAGATCACTTGTATTCCCCTTCCTGGGAACGTTTTTTTAACCTATTCTTTGCCCACTTTCCTGCTGGACCGGCGGTCTTTTTCTTACGTCATTGTGAAAGCTCTTTACGTATCTGAAAGATTAGTTCTCTTTCTAGCATATGACTTTAAAACAATTTTTCCTTGGTTGTTTATTATTTTGCTTTTGATGTTTTTGGTTTTTGTTTTGACCATGCAGAAACGAAGCCTAATCTATCGATCTGTTATGATACCTGAGTTTGGTGGAATGCTTAGGTTTCCTCCACTCCGAGATTTAAAAAAAAAAAAAAAGAATCCTATGTTTTCTACTGGCTCACTTGCTTTTTTAAAAAGATTTTATTTATTTTTATAGAGAGGGGAAGGGAGGGAGAAAGAGAGGGAGAGAAACATCGATATGCAAGAGAAACATCAGTTGGTTGCCTCTCGCACGCCCCCAGCTGGGGACCTGGCTTGCTACCCAGGCATGTGTCCTGACCACAGAACGAACCAGTGACTCTTTGGTCTGCAGGCTAGTGCTCAGTCCACTGGGACACACACACCACCAGGGCTCACTTGCTCTTTTTATGATACCATAGGGATTATTCCTCTCGGTATGAAGACACTCTGGGTACAAGTTCTGGTTTGCCAAATGCTGTCATATTGTTTCATTCTTGTAAATGTCTTTGAAGAATAGAACTTTAGCATTTTGATGAAGTCCAACTTATTTTTTTCTTTTATAGATTGAGTTTTTGGTTTATGTCTAGATATTTCATGGGTTTTGGGGGTGCTGTTACAAGTAGTATTTTTTTAAATTTTACTTTCCAAGTGTTCATTGATTACATATAGAAAAACTATTGACTTTTTACTTATCATCCTTGTAGTCTGCAATGTTCCTAAACCCATTTCTTAGTTATGGTCACATGTTTGTAAGTTCTTTGGGATTTTCTGCATATGCAATCATTGTTTGCAAATAAAGATAGTTTTACTTCTTCCTTTTCAATCTGTGTATCTTTAATTCCTTTTGTCCACCTTATTGGTCTGGCTAGAATCTCCAGTGCGATTTTGAGTTGAAGTGGTAAGAGTAGATACCCTTGTCTCGTTTCTAATACTACAAAAAAGAAACATTCAGTCTTTTACCGTTAAATATGATGCTAGCTGTAGCTTTTTGGTAGATAACCTTTATCAAGTTGAGGATGTTCCCTTTTATTCTTATTTTGCTGAGAGTTTTTTAATCATGAAGGGATGTTGAACTTTGCCAGGTACTTTTTCTGCATCTATTGAGATTGTCAAAAATTATAATATTTAAAAACCAAATATTGGTAAGATGTTGAGTCTGTTGATATGATGAGTTACAGTGATTAATTTTCAAAGATGGAAAGAGTCGTCTTGCATTCATGGAATAAACCCTACTTGGTCATGATACAGTAATGCACACACACGTGTGTATGTTAATGCATCATATATTTATATATTTGCCAAGTTAGTGTTAAGCATGTCAGTGTTGACGTTCAGGGGGGACACTAACCTCTAGTTATTGTGTCTGTTTTCTCTCCAGCCTGTGCCCAAATAAGGTTCATCCAAAAGACTTTGCCCACTCATGCCCATTCGAGGCAATCTGGAATGAGACTGAGGAGGAAGATGAGGAGGAGGAAGATGAGGAAGATGAGGAGGAAGACCAAGAAGAGGAAGAAGAAGAGGAGGAGGGAGAGGAGGAGGAGGAGGAGGAAAAAGTGGAGCTCTTACATTCCCCGGTCACTCTGTCACCAGACCTCATGGAGTTTGAACGGTGTGAACAGCTGAGAGGTGGCCTCGTGCGCAGCTGGGGCTCCTGTGGGGCAGGGGACAGGGGCTCCCACTGGGACACGCTGCAGGCCCTGAGTCATGGAAGTTCCAGAATCTCCACACCTCTGGGACTTGGGGAGGGGGTTTGCAGAAAAGACTAAAGAAATAGTCTTGAAGCTACATTTGCATAGCACATACACTGTGTTTACTTAGACTGGATGTTTATCTGAGATGCCTTGGGGGGTGGCTGATGGGGATCATAGAGGCTAAACCGCCCCCCTGCACACACACACCCCACAAAGTCTGTTTGGGGCGGCTTTATAGGAAGATGCCTCAGACTCCCACCCCTCCACTCGGGGGGATGCGCAGGGTGGGTGGATAACACTGCCACCCACCCCTCCACCGACTCAAGACCCTGGGCAGCCTCGTTGGCTTCGGGGGCATTGGCTCAATAGGTCGAGGCTCTGTCCACAGTCGAGCCCAACTTTCAGGCCTCAAATTAAAGCAGGTGTCACATCACGTCTGCACATTCATAGGCTGGGAATTTTAAGCAGTTTTCCTTAGGGTGTCGGCTGAGCCAGCCACGCCTCTCATCTTCTCTACCTAAGGCAGAGAGCTTCCCAGGGGGCACTGGCAGGACCTGAGGAGGGACCCTGAAGCAGAAATCTGTCCCCCACATCCCCCAAGATGGCTGTGCTCCCCAAGGGTCAGGGGCACACAGGAACTAGTAATGCGAAGTCTCTGGTACAGCACAGGGAGGTGGTCAGACCCATGTGCCGAACACCAGCCGACACCCGAATGAACTCCTGAGGGCACGGCTTGGGGAGGGCCCATGGGTCTGGAGCCTCAGGCCTGGGAGATGGTGTCGTTTCTGTTCCAGGTATCTCACCTTTTACAAGCAGACGATGGACCTTCTGACCAGAAGCGGGATCGTCTCCTCGCAGGAGGTGACACTCCCTGTGGTGTCTGCGGCCATCTCCCACCTGTGGCAGAACCTCTCCGAGGAGAAGAAGGCCAGTTTCCTGGAGGCCTTGGCGCAGAAGCACAGCAGCCTCCCGGGCCTCGAAGGGGCCACCCAGGAGCCAGCCTGCGCTGAGGGCAGCATGAAGGACAGTGGAGTTGATAGCCAAGGGGCCAGCTGCTCGCTCATGTCCACTCCGGAGGAGGTTAGCTGACCCTGGGACATAGGGTGGAGGGGTGTCACCCCAGGCCAGGAGATGCCAGGGACCGGCTCAGGGTCACATGGCAAGTTTGAGGGGCTATTTGGATTCCGGCTCATGTGGTCAGTTTCTGATTTTGCTGACATCATCTTCGCAACCACAGAACAGCATTTGTTATTCTTGGGTTAGTTTCCGGCCTTTCCATTGGGGATAATAGGAAAGAAACCTTAGAACAGGGGCGTCAAACTCATTTTCATGGGGGGCCACATCAGCCTCAAGGTGTGAGGGCCATATGTAATTTTAGGACTGTGTCAGTGCAACGACTCCTTAATTAGGGGCAAGGAGCTCGGTGCTGTCGCCGGGTAGAAACAAGGTGCCGGGCCGGATAAAACAAAGTGGAGGGCGGGCTGCAGCTCACGGGCCTTGTGTTTGCCGCCTGTACCTTGGAAGGTTGTATCCGCTGGGATTTTCTCAGGCTGCCTGTTACTGGCTCATCAAACCTTGAACCCAGGGAGGTTCCAAGGCAGGGCAGGGTTCTGGTCACTGTCTCAGTAATGGCAGCAGGGACTCGGTTCTACTCTGCTCTGCTTCATCTGAAGGCTGGTTTCTCACCTTTTCTCTCCTCCCCACTCCCCTGCCCCCCGCCATGTGACTGTGCCAGGCCAGCTGATAGCAGCCATCCTTCCTCCTCCCTGGTCTCAACCGTGAAAATGATGCCCTGTGGCCTTTTCTCAAAGGCCTAGGAAGAACTTTTTCAGAAATTTCCATCGAACCTCTCCTCTTCCCTCATTGGCCAAATTTAGCCAGATTGACAGATTACTGAGCCAATGACCTGCATAATCAAGATAGGATTACATCTGGACCAATCAGGCCCAATCCCTGAAAGGTAGTCAGTTCTCACCCCGAAGAGCATTGCTGCCACACAGTGAAGTTGGCTTGGGCCAGCCCAGGGCTGGGTAACAGTTATGTCCCAGGTAGGGACAGAGCCACCATAACTGTGGCTTCTAAATGAGTAGCAGTGAAACCTCTGGGGGCTCCTGGCCCATCTGGAGAGGCTCTGCTGTGGAACACTTGTGTTCGGGGCCAGGCCCTGGACTCGAGGTCAGGCGTGCCCAGGAGGTACCTGGACATCCCCTTTGCAGTTCTGCGAAGTGTGTCTGCAGTATGCCGGGTGCTCCAGAAGGGCTGTGGAGCCTGGCGGTGCCCCTCCCGGCTGGCTTTTCAGGGGGTGTCCCAGGGAGGACAGTGTGTAGCGTATAACTCCTGGGGGCAGATTTGTTTAGGCCCTGGGTCCCTGCCTCAATCCTGTGGGGAGGGACACCAGACATTAAGCTTCTAGGCTAATGGACACGGGGGCTCAGTGACCTCAGTCCAGATTCTGTTTGAGATGACCAAAGGGATATTTTTTTAAAAGGACACCAGAAAATGTCCAGAAACCCAGGAGGGGGCCATCCACAGGGCCAGAGTCCCAAGGGGGTCAGTTCAGCGACAGCATCTTGTGGGACGAATAGACAGACAGACAATCAGGGCCGAGGACTGGCTCTGCTCTCCTGGGGGTGGCCTGTGTGACCGGGTGCCGGGTAACACACAGCTTGCCAGCAATACTTGCATTGGGAGGATGGCCTGTGGGATAGTTCATCTAAAATTCAAATTTAAGCATCCTGTACGTTTCTTTGCTAAATCTGGTAATCCTGAGTGTATATCACATTCTGGTGGAATATTTAATATTCTCCCACAAATTAAGAAAAAGCAGGACCAAACACTGTCTAAATAGCAAGATTCCCAAACCGAAAATATATGATGGGATACTCAGAGGGCAAGGATGGAGGGAAAGAAGTCACTGTGTCAGCAAAGGACCCCTCCAGGCGGATTGCTTCTCAGGGGCTTTTGCTTTTCCTATCTTATTTCATTTTCCCAAAATTTCCACGATAAACATGTATTTCTTTTACAAACCAGACAGCATTCAATAATAGCTAATATGTCTGAGCCATTTTTATGCGTCTGGTGCCTCACGTATGTTAGTTAATCCTGCAACACCCCTGCCAGTGGGCACTGTTGCAATTCCCGTTTACAGAGGAGGATTGGAGAGATGCAGTCACTTGTCCGAGATCACACAGCTTAATGAGTGGCAGGGCGGGGTGTCGGCTCTCCTGCAGCCTCGCTCCAGAGCCCCTTGACCTCTATATTCAGCTGCCCTGAAACTGTGGGGTTGTCAATCCTGGGCTCAAAGAGGCCCTCCAGCTGGGGAGGTGAAGGGCTGCTGTGTCTCCCGCCCGAGCTCTGTCTTCTTTAGAAGGAGGAAAGCACCGTCCCCAGCACTCCCCTCTGGGGTTGGCTGTTTGTTCTGAGTGGGCAAGAGCTTAATATTCACCCCCTGGGAAGGTCACCAAGCGGAGCCCCTGGGATTGAGCCCGGCTGTAACAGGCATACCTCTCGGGGCTGAGGGGTGAAGGGAGACCATCTCTCTATTCTGTCTCGCAGCAGCCCAGTGCCAATGTCGAACTGCTGAGTTATTTCCGACCAAGTTCTGTGCTTTCTTTCAGTTTCTTTTTGAGGATGTGTTTGACGTGGCGTGTTTTCTGGACAAAAATGAGGATCCAAGTCCATCTAGCTCCAGGTGAGAAGGGGTGTGAGATGGGTGTGCATGCGTGTGCATGCGTGTGCACTCCTGCTGTGAGGTTTAGGGGCCTCGCCCCTGCAGCCCTCAGTGGGGCGAGTGATTCAGTGGGCGTTCTTGAAGATCGTTCTTTTCCCAGGGATCCAAACAAAGCTGGTCCTAGGACTGTGCCGTCGCCCTGGGGGGTGTTGTCTGGGGTTCTTCAGAGCAGAAAGTTCTTCCCTCCTGGCCCAGGGCTGAGACACAACAGGTTAACAACTCCAGGTTGTTCGCATGGCACCGTTTTGCCAGGAGGAGGCAGCCGTGGGCGGCTACAGTGGTCGGTTCGGTCTGAGAGGTGGGCAGGGGCGTCTGGGGCCCGGGGAACCTGGGCCAGGCTGGGAACAGGCCCCGTGCCTGGAGCTCAGGAGAATCTCTGAGTTGTACAAGGTGGGGCTGCTTGTCATGTGGTGTCAGTGGACATGAGAGGAGGGGAGAACCGGGTGGCTGGCCCCGCTCCACAGGGTGAGGAGACACAAAACAGCATCTGGGGAGATTTGCCAACAAGCAGCAGCTGACCGAGTCTGGGCTGCGCGAGCGAGTTTAGGGCTGAAATGCCTTTGCTGCTTTGAAAAGCTGCGGTCACACAGTCTGAGGGTGCGGGCCTTTCTGAGGCCTGTGCTGGTGTCTTGGCTAAAAGAGGCCTGAACAGTTAGTGTCTCTGTCATGGGAGTGTGGGGACATTCATGTCCTCACGATTCCAGCAAATGTCTTCATTCTCCCCGGAGGCCACAGCTGTCTCTGGCGACCTGGCCACAAATCAACATTTGTCCGTCCCCACCATCTGCTTCGCACCGCCTGCCCCTGGCCCAGACAGCCCTGTGCAAAATCTGCACAGGTATATCACGGGGTGACTGAAGTCCTCCTCTGCTCTGTGTGGAGCCGGACTTTGCTGACGGTGGCCGGAGGCAGATATTGAAGAAGACAGCCCCGAAGATAGTTTGGCCGAGAAGTTGCCTAAGTGCACTTGACCAGCGATATTTGGAAATTCTTACCGTGCTGGTGGAGCAAAAAAACAACCTATTAAAAATCCTTTTTTTCACTTTCCCTAGAAAAGGCAGGGCTAGCAGGGTCTGCTAGCTGGCTGGGGGACCTCATTCCAGGGGGGTGTGAGGTCAGAATGCCAGCTGTCACAGCGTAACTCACAGTTCTTCTCTCTGTGGTCCCTGGTTGTTGGGCTTCTCTCACTGTTCCCAGAAGGCAGCTGGAAAGAACTGCAAAACAGGCCTTTTTCTGCATCTGTGACCTGTGTGGGACCCACTGGGTGGAGGTGTCTGAAGGGTCTGACCTTCAGTGTGCGATGCCCCCCTGGGGGGGCCAGAGTTGCGGGGGTCTGCACTGCAGTGGTTGACTCTCCGGGAGGGAGGACACCTCACTCCCTTGTTCCACAGGCCACAGCTCAGGACACTAAATTAGGACACGGCCGCCAGTCTCCCTGCTGTCCCACTTTGCCAGCAGGTTCCAGATGTGACACTGGAGCTGAGGCGACTCAGACCTTCCAGGAAGGGCCCCCGCCTTATCTGAGGAGTCAGCTGGGTGTTGAAAGTACTTTGTCCATGCCATAATCCAGGTCTTTCAGGGGCGCAAGCAGAGGTCAAAGGACAGGGTTCTGAACGTTGGCTGTCTCTTCCTCCTCTCTGTTGTCAGTTCCTTGTTTGCCAGCTGCCACCCAGAGAACCCAGAAGAGAAGTTTCGGCTCTATACGCAGATCATCGACTTCTTTAATGGCCTTTGCTGTGCTAATACTCAGCTGAAACAGGTAGGACAGCCCCAGCCGAGTGGCTCATTTGGTTGGAGCATCGTCCCACACACAAAAAGGTTGCAGGTTTGGTCCCTGGTCAGGGCACATACCTAGGTTACAGGTTCAATTACCAGTTGAGGTGCATATGAGAGGCAACCAATTGATGTTTCTCTCTCCCTCACCTTTCTCTCTGTCTAAAATCAATAAATCCATTCTCAGGTGAGGATTTAAAAAAAAACAGGTTAGGACAGAGCAGAGTGCCAAGAAACCTCAGCCCTCCGCCCGTCCACCATAGGATCCGGCAAGGGCTGTGGAGGGGAGCCCCAGCCGCCTCGCTGGGCTCACACCACAAGGGCTACTCGTGGGGGACATTCTCTCGTTCTCTCGGGCGGATGGTTGACCTCAGCCTGGGGAGACTGAGGGCCGAGACGGGGATGCTCTCTGGGGCGGCCACCAGGTCCCAGTTCCTAACTGGCATGGGTTCCTCGACACCTTTCTGAGAGGCTGAGCTGTTCTCTCATCTCCTGAGACCCTGGGGTAATATTTGCCATCAGCTTTGGGAGGATATTCATGTCTACTTCCAACAAGCTGACTGTGCGGCATACAATGACGTAAGTAGTGAAGGTTTGGGTCAGGAGGAACATTCTGGAAGCTTTTGTGGGGGGGAGGAGTTTATGCCTGAGCCACAATGCTTCATAGCCATAGCTTTTCTCTGCTAATTTAGCAAAAATAAATAAATAATAATAATAATACAGTTGTTTATTTTAAAAGCTAAGCAGTACTAATGAAAATGTTTACCTAAAAATAATTAGGACAGCTTTCCAACAGGGTAACGAATCACTTGGCCCTTTTCCCACCAAGCGTTCATAAGTATGCATCACTGGGACAGCCTTTGCTCTCCTGTTTCCTTTCTGCACACAGAGCAGAAAAGAAGGAACAAGCAGGCACCGGAGCATCCACATACAGCAGAGAGGCTCTCTAACCTGAATCGCCTGACAGCTTCCCAGAAATGCTGATCCCTGGTGCCCCACCCCCCAAGAAACTCATTCAGTGTTTGGAGATGGGGCCCCAGGAATCTGTATTCTGAACAAGTTGCCCTGGAGGTTCTGGTGCAGGAGGCCTGGGGCTTTTCATAGCCGCTGGTGTAAAGAGGGACATTCCATTCTCTCCCCATCCACTCGTGGGAGGTGGCTGAATGACACTGAACTGGCACTGGATCAGTTGCTTGGGTTGCTGTAACCAACCGCCACAAACTTGGCAGTGTGCAGCTCAGAGCTCGGAGGAGGGAAGGCTGGCCTAGTGAAGGCGTCTGCAGGGCCATGCTCTCTGCCAGCTCTAGGGGGCGCCCTGCCCCGTCTGCTCCTCATTCGGGGGCTCCTCTAGCCATGTGCATTCCTTGACTCACAGTGGCATCATTTCCAGTCGCTGCCTGTGTCTCCACAGGCCTTCTGTATCTCTCTGTCCCTCTCGTCTTCTTATAAGGACACCAGTCCTTGGATTGAGGGCCACCCCAAATCCAGGATGAGTTCGTCTCAAGATCCTTAACTAATAACCTCTGCAAAGATCCTTATTTCTAAATAAGGTTCCAGGTGGGCATGAATTTGGGGGGACACCATTCTACCCACTGCAGACACCTCTCACAGCCTGTGGCTTTCACACATCTGATGCTTAAAGATGCCTCAGACACCGTTTTCAGGGGCTGAAGGAACTAGAACATTTCGAATGATGTTCAAGCACTTTGAGTGACAGAGACTTGAGCATGTGGTTCTCTCCAGGATGTTCGGCTTCCTGGCACCCCTATGCTCCGACTCCCACTTTTCTCAACTTTTGCCATTCATTGTCCTCCCCTAAACAGGGGGCCCGGGTGATCTTCCTTTGACTGCCGGTCCTGCCATCAGCTACTCCAACCTCTCGCACCCGCCCCTGTCTGTAGGGCACGGACAATGAGGCCCGTTGTCCACAGCAGAAAAGGCTTCACCTGCGACTGTGGGTGCTCCCCACGGCCCAAAGGGATCAAACCCAGACCAGCAGGGCCGACAAACTGCAGGGGTCATTTTCTGCTGGCCTGGGGGAAAGACAGGAAGTGCAACCCCTGAAACATACTTTAGGGGGCGAAGTCATGTGGATTCGGAAGGGTTGGCCGGGCCCATTGTAAAGGGAATGAGAAACCCTTGCTAGACATATAATGATAGTACTGCTTCTTTAAAAAATTATCTCCAAGTGGCTAACCCATACGTGTGGTTTAAAATTCAAGTTACCAAAGATGTACAAAGAAAACTTCGTCCTTGACCTACCGCTGCCCCTTGGTTACTCACTACCCATTCCCTTCCCCAAAGGCAATCCCGTTACCGGTTTTTTGAACAGCCATCCAATATTTACATACTCTCTCAAACACAAATGGTACTCTCCTGTGCACATTGCTTGTATCTTGCCCTTTTTAATGAGTATATCCCACAGATTGGGAGTGATCACATTCCTTTTTACTGCAACAGCTGCATGGTGTTCTACTGGTGGGTGCAACACAGTGTAATTTGCCATCTTCTATTGATGGTCATTTGAATAAAGCTTTAAGGTTTCCAAAGAAGCCAGTTCTGTGGAACTGGAAAAGCTTTTCTGGTGGTCATAGAAGGAACTGACAGTGGAACGTTCCCCACTGCTGACCTTGCTTCCTGGCCGGAAGCTGGAGGTGAAGACACAGTGAAGACATAGGGGGTGGAGACCGAGGGAGCGCGGCCCATCTGAGAGGGTGGGGCCTCCTCATTGGCCTGGGCCAGGAATCCTGAAATGAAAAGCAATCCTCTTCCATCCTGTGCGTTGCAGGAACCAGGCCCTCCTCCCATGGACGATGAGCTGTTGATGCTGCAGTGTATGGAGACCTTTGACGACGAAGATCTGTAATGCAGCACAGCTGGGAGGAAAGGGATGCGTGAGGTGGACCGTTTCCAAGTTTGAACGCCGGCAGCCAAAGCTGCATCTGCCTCAGTCTTCTGGGAGTGTTTTGGGTGGATTGTCCCAGGAGCATTTTGATGGTTTTCGTTTCTGATTATTATAAAGCATTGAGAGCAGCTTGGTTCCATGTTGGTCTTTCAGGGTAGTTTGGGATAAGGGACTGGCCTGATGCAGGGCACACACTCTCTCCCCCTGTGCTCCTATTCGGGGCAAGGGATGTGGGTATTGGGTGCAGCTGAGGCCCAGGCCACAGGCCTTCCAAGAAAAGGACAGGCAGGACCTGTCTCTGGAGGTGCCATGATACCGGGTACTTTCAGCACAGTCTGGGTTCAGGTTGTTGTTCTGGTGGATTCTAGAGTTCTGGAGACCACCTGCTCATTCTCCAGGCTCTGGGAGCTCGGGAACAGTGCTGACCTTAACCGTGTGCCGCAGGACATCGGGGTAGAACCAGCTGTGCCTGCTTCTTCCGGTAATAAAGACCCTGAATGAAGGCCAAGCCAGATTTCACAGTGTTCTGGGCACTTTGAGGCTCCTTAACAAGGACTGTATATGCCCCTGAGCTGTACACTGTGTGTGATATTTGGCCCAACACTATTCTAGATGTTTTTATGAAGGCATTTATTTTAGATGAGGTTCACATTTAAATTAGTAGATTTTGAGTAAGGCAGATTACTTGCCACAATGTGGTGGGCCTGGTCCAATCAGTTGAAGGACCAAATACACCAAAAGATTGCCCTCCCCTGAGGAAGAGGGAGTCCTGCAGTGATTACCCTCAGGGACTCAGCTGCAGTCTGCCCAGCCTACTGGTCGGTCTACCCTGCAGACTTTGGACTTGCCAGCCTCCACAATCACAGGAGCCCATTGCTTAACAATGGGCTCTCTCTCTCTCTCCTGTGTATGTATATTTATATATCAACCACATATGTGTATATGTAGTAGGTATCTAGTAACACATATGTATGTGTGTGCATGTGTGCGTGTACACACAAACACAACCCATGGGCTCAGTTTCTCTGGAGAGCCCGGACTAATCCACTGCGCATGCAGAGAGAAGGGGTTCGCCTGCCTCCTTACAGTTTACACATCATAGCACAGTGGCTCTCCTCCACTGAAGACCCCCACATTCTTGGACCGCTTCATCTCCTATCTACTCCACTGCCCAGCTCTCACTGCTCACTGTCCTGTGATGCAGAAGCCGACCCCCAGTGATTCCCCTTGAGGGTGTGCGGGGGTTACAAGTGGCAGGGCACAGAGGGGAAGGGCCTGGAGGGGCTGGCAGGGCCACCTGCCTCTTTGGGGAGGAAGAAACCTGTTCTTCCAGCCAAGAGTCCCATCTCCATCCCCTGCCCCACCCCCCCAGGCCTCTTTCTCCCAAGGTGTCAAAAATAGTACCAAGAACATGTGGACTGGGTGTTTCTGCAGGGACATCGGGCTGCACTGGTTTATACTGGAGATGCAAGGCTGGAGCCCAGCGGAAGGTGCAGTTCGAGGCCTGGCCTCGTCCAAGCATGCTTGTCATGGTCTTCATTTAATACTTATCTGGCCGCCGAGGTGGACAGGCCAATGGAGGTGCTCAGGAGGGTGTGGTCCCCACCTGTGCATGCACGCAGCACATCCTGGGGTGGGGGTGGGTGGAGAGGACTTGGGGACACGTCAGGAGAGACAGCCTCACATCCTGGTTTCCGGGGCTCCCCTGGGACGCTCTCCTGAGGGATCCTGGGAGCAGAGTGTGAGCTCGCTCTTTCCCACCCCTTCTTTCCCACCGCCTTCCAGTCTGGGCCAGAAGGGGAGACACCGGGTCCAGGAGGGAGCGAGCGACTGGGTGCCAATCCCACAAGGGAAGCCGTAGATCTCCAAGACTTTCGTCACCTCCGAAGACTCCTGGATTTGATTCCACGCCACGAGGCCTCTCTCCTCCTGACTCCCTGAGAGCAGACAGTGAGCAGTCAGGACTGGGCCCGGATAGAGTGGACCATGGAGAGCTGGAGGGGGCCTCTAGCTCCCCCGCAGGCAGTTATGAGGTCTCAGCGCCCTCCACCTGCGGACAGAGGCAGCCACCAGCCTGTCTCAGGAATGGAGGCTCAGTTCAGCCTGGCTCAGCTCCCCAGGCACTGCCTGAGCTCCCACTGGGTGGCTGACCGTGGCACAGAGCTCCCGTACCACCTCCTGTGAACCACCGTCCTTTCATCCAGGGGCTGGTCTTTCCACATTTTAATGTTTCTGGGATGCAGACACATTTTACACTTGGAAGAGAAGATAATGTGGAAAAATAGAATACCCCCCAGCAGGTGCTATCATAAAGGTCCTTTCAGGAGGCTGTGGGAGGGTCAAGAAGGGCGCATTGAAAGCCATTGGTGAAGGTAGCTCTGAGCTCTCCACTTTCCACCTCCTCAGCACTTACAGACTCCATCTGCTCATCCTCACACTGATTACCCTGTATTGTAACTGTCTTTCTCTCCTCTCTCTCTCCCATTAGCCTGTGGGTTTCTGAAAGGCAGGGGGTATGTCTTTCTGCATTTTGTATTTTCAGCAGAAAATACAAAAAATACCCCTACCTCGGGGGTATTGTGGGTTGAGTTCCAGGCCACTGGATAAAATGAGTATCCTAATCAAATGAGTCACAATCTTTTTGCTGGTGGAGTTTATAAAATAACAAACAAACAAACCATAATATCTGTGAAGCATGATACAATGAAGTGCAATAAAACAGGGTATGCCTGTATACAGCACCTGAAACACAAAGGGCTCAAGAAGTTTTTGTCAAAAATATGAATGAAGGAAGGAATCAATGAATGGCTGGATGGCTGGATGAATGAATGAATACCCATGTTCTCTTTCTCACCAACTAGACTCCCCAAGAGTACTGGGGCTATGCCTTTTTCTTTTTGCTTCTGGTGTATTTCCCACCCTAGGGCCCTGTTATAGGTTGAATTGTGTCCCCCCCAAAAAACTACACGTTGAAACCCTAGGCCCTGCACATTAAAATGTGACTGTATTTGGAGATAGGACCAGTGAAGAGATGACTACGTAAAAGATGAGGGCTTTCGGGCAGGCCTAATCTGCTCTGATGTGTGTCTATAAGAGGAGACTAGGACACATGGAGACACCAGGGAGGCACACCCAGAGGGGAGGGCAGGTGTGGACGCCATGAGAGAGCAGCCGTCTGCAAGCTTAGGGGAGAGGCCTCAGGAGAAACCAGCCCTGCCAACACTGTGACCTCAGATTCCCAGCCTCCGGACCGAGAGAAAATCTATTGGGTTGTTTAAGCCCCAGACTGCAGTATTTTGTGATGGCAGCCCTTGAAAACTAATACAGACCTACACACACAACCAGAGCCAGGGCCCACTCCGACTGTGGTTGGCCTGACCTGCTGTAATCAGGGCTGGAGACGCAAGGGGAGTGACCCATATGCTGACTGCCTACCCCAACCGCCAGCTTACAGAGTGAAGGTGAGCCCTACCAGGGATGGTGTTGTCCAGGAGAAAGCCAAGAAATCCACCAACGAACATGCCCGTGGTCAGCAGCACCTGGATGACCTGGTCCAGCTGGAGAATTCCTGGCGTGGAGACAAAAGTGACAAGGATGCCCAGGGATGAAGGGCCCCGTGGGCGCTGCCCCCGGAGTGGTCCCAGTCCAGAGGACGGAGAATCACCTGTCTGCACCTTCTCAGGGTTCTTGTTCACCCAGTTGGGAATGGTGAGCCCACAGAAGATGGAGAAGCCGAAGACAAACAGGTTCCTGGACGAGTTCATGTCCACGTACTGCGGGAGAGAGGCCCCCAGGGCAGCCCAGAGCCTCAGCACCTTTGCTGCACACCAACCTCACACCCCTCCAGGTGTCCCTTCCCTCCCACTGCCACCAGAGGTTTGGGGGGAGGGGGCTGAACCTAGAGCAACCCACATTCTCAGCAGGCAAGCCAAGTCCTAATTCCCACTTGACTCTGGGAGCTGAGTGGTTCCGATAATCCAGTTCAAACTGATACAATGTCCAGTTTTGGATGCTTCCAGCTATGTCTTTTTTCCATGGTGGAGGTGGGGAGGAGAGGAGCAGTGTGGTTATGGGGACCAGGGAGCCCCTGCTCCTCCCCTTCCCCGGCCCTGTCCCATTCACCTCGATCCCCAGGAAAGGCTGCTGTTGTCCCAGGGGCGCCTCACTCACCTGCAGATTGGAAATCCCCACGGCAGAGATGATCCCGAACATCACCAGGAACATGCCTCCGATCACGGGGGATGGGATGGTGGCAAATGCAGCCCCGACCTTCCCAAACAAGCCCATCAGGAGCAACACACAGCCAGCGGCGACGATCACCACCCTGCTCCCCACCTGCAGCACTCGGGGACATCAAGACAAGCAGCTCAGCACCAGCCAGGCCACATGCCTCAAAGGCCTCTGCGCTGCTCTCGGGCACCTCCATCAATGTTCAGGACAGACTCACAAGAGCAGCACCTCCTGACCCAGAAGTGACCCCGCCCCCTCTGCTTCCGCATGGTGCGTTGGGGATAGGATGAGGGTGTGGCCAGGTGGCAGCTGGATTATTCAGGTTCAGAGGACCGACCCCCAAACCTTGGAAAGTAAAACATTTCCTCAGGGCTTCAAAGCCACTGAGGTCTGCACTCGCCAGGCTAGACTTTCTGCCTGTGGAGTGGCCACCACCAAGAAGCGTGGTATGGGGAGCAAAATGATGGCCCCTAGCAGAGGTCATGTCCTAACCCCCAAACCTGTGCCTGTGTTACCTTGCATGGCCAAAGGGACTTCACAGAGGTGATGAAGGTGAGCATTTTGAGATGGAAAGGGTATCCTGAGACAGCCAGGCAGGCCCGATGTAATTACACGAATCGGTATTAAGTAGAGAACCTTTCCTGGCTGTGGTCAGGGACATGTGACTATGGAAGGGAGGCCAGAGAGATGCAACGTTCCTGGTTTGGAAGATGGAGGATGGCGAGGGTGGACAGCCAAGGAACGAGGAAAGCCTCTAGATCAGTGGTCCCCAACATTTTTGGCACCAGGAACCAGTTTTTCCACCTCCGGGGCCGAGGAGCCAGGCACAGGAGGAGGAGCTCAGGCAGGGGCGGGGCCCAGGAGGCGGAGCTCAGGCTGGGGTGGGGGAGGAGTCAGGAGGTGGAGCTCAGACACGCTCCCCGCAGGGACCCCTCACCCGCAGCAGCCCAGTTCCTAGCAGGGCTCGGACAGGTACCCGCCCATGGCCCCAGGGGTTGGGGGCGTGGAAAATGCAAGTACATGGATTCTTCTCTGGAGCCTCCAGGGAGGAACACAGCCCTGCCAATGTTAGCCTCCGGAGATCCACGTCAGACTTCTGACCTCCGCATTAGTAAAATAATAAGTTTGGGTTGTTTGAAGCCAGTAAGTTTGCGCTAATTTGTTACAGCAGAAATAGGGGACTAATACACTCAGTGGCAGATTGGGGTACTCCACCTGCCCCCAGGAGCCACCTACCTTGGTGATTCCCAGTGCCCCAACATTCTCGCTGTAGGAGGTGGTGCCGTTGCCCGTCCCCCAGGCCCCTGCCAGGAGGCAGCCCAGGCCCTCAATGCCAATGCCGCGGTTGACGGCGTGCTTTGGAGGGGGTGGGGCTCCCACCAGCCGGGCACAGGCATAATAATCGCCCACAGACTCCACCATCGAGGAGATCACCCCAGCGATGATCCCAAAGACCCCAGCCAGGCTGATGGTGGGGAGGCCCCACTGTCCTGAAAATACAATGCAGACGATATTCACCCAGAAGATAACAGGCTGCTGAACCCTGTTAACGGCTTTGCCGGAGGGGTCTCTGGAAGGCTTTAAGACTAGGCGGTGCGCGTCTTCAACCCCACAACTGTCCTGAGGATTTGCCTGACTCCTGCTCCACCATTGCTCCCTCAGGGAGGGTCAGACGCCCTGACCTTGAGGCCACTGTGCGCAAAAAGAACCAGCCATGGAGCATCTTCCCAGAAAGACCTTGAAGCCTTTGGGAGATGAGAGTGTTACTCAGGGAGCCCCAGCCCCACAGTCCGTAGGCCAGGGCAGCCCTCCCTGGACCCTGGTAATCTACACACCCTGAGCCGAGAACTGCAGGGAAAGGAGACCAGGAGTGGCCTAGGGGATGGCCTTGAACTTGTCTCCCCAGAACTGTTTTCATTCAGTCCTAGTAGATCCCTGGTATGGGATCTACTGAATCCGGGAGGAGACTCCAGCTAGCAGGTGGGGACCTTGCTGTCCTCTCCCTGCTCCCAGGCCCAGGGGCTCTGAGCCAGGCGAGGAGAGGGGATGAGAGACGTCGGCCAGCTCAGAGGCAGCCTCTTGTCTCGCTGTGAAATAATAAATACAGGTTGTTGGAAGTCACTAAATGTGTGCTAACTTGCCACAGCAGAAATGGGATTCTAAAAAGACTCTTGGGCATGGACAACAGTGTGGTGATTGTGGGGGCTGGGGGTGTAAGGGGACTACATGGTAATGAAAAAAGAACAATAAAAAATTTTTTAAAGAGGACTAGGAGAGTATAACGTTGAGTGACAGGTGTAGGTGCCTGGCCTGCTTTGAGCCACCGTCAGCAGCCTTACCCAGTGGCCCAGCATTCTCGCTGCCATTCCCTGTCCCCACAGGAGTCTTGGGACAACCCAGGGGTCTCCTTCTTCTCTCTGGGGTCTGTGCCTCACTGTCAGATTCCTTGGAGGAAAGCCTGCCTCCCCCCACCCCATTCAATGCTCCAGCCCGTACCCTGGGTCCCAGGCCAGGAGGGTCCCCATCTTCTCATTACCTGGGTAAGGGAAGCGAAACCAAGGGGCCTGGCTCAGCACGTGGCTTTTGGTGTCGGTGCGGGCCAGGTACCCATAGGCCGTGGGGGCCGAGGGGAGGGCGTTGGTCACCGTGAGCACGAAGCAGAGGAGCCAGGAAATGCAGAGCGCCAGCAGTACCTGCGGGAGGAAGCCGCCTTCACCAGGGCGCCTGCCCCTCCCCCTGCCAGCCCCTCCCCCTGCCAGGCCCTCCCCCTGACCGCCCCTCCCCCTGACAGCCCCTCCCCCTGACAGCCTCTCCCCCTGCCAGCCCCTCCGGGACCATGGGAATCTAGTGTGTGGTGGATAATTAGCACATTAAAGGAACGCAGAAAATAAATGGTGGGGAGCCCTTGCATCAGATAGAGGCAGAATGTCTGGTGAAGGGGACACGTATGACATAGTCTGTCTCCCTTTGTACTGTTGGCCGGTCACATGACCTTGGATCAAATTCTCTAAGCCTCAGTTTCCTCGTCTGTACAATGGAATTACAGTCAGTGCTCTGTAGAGCCTGAAGCAGGATTTCACAGAGCGGGGCCCTCCAAAATATGATTTTTAATCTCTGGTGGTGAAACCCTGGAAATCTGTATTTTTAGCAGCACCCCCAGGTGAAGCGTATACACACTGAATTTCAGAGCAGGGGTGTGAGGGAGCGATGCAATCACTATGTGGAAGTGTATTCTTACAGCAAGAAATGGAGTTTCCGGTTCAATTGAACCTGAAAATATATGTGTGGTTGACAGCTACCCATCCTCGGCAGCGTGGTGCAAACGCAACAGAGAAGGCTCTGAAGAGAGAGACGCCATCCTCACCACAGGGCACTTGAATTGCCCATGAGCCACTGAGAAAGAACGTGACCTAAGCATCTTGACCCCTAGTTTTATATAATTAGCAGTGAGCCCGGCAGCCTCCTTAGTATCTCGATAGGAGAATGGCCCAGGGAATGTGAGAAGGCTACCCCACCTGGTGCCCAGGGTGGCGACCTAGGGCAAGTGCTCTGCTCCTGGGAGAGAAGCAGGGAAGAAACACTGGGGTGGCATCACCCCGATGGTGAGGGAGCGTTCCTGCAGACGGCGCAAGGGAGCGGGGGAGGGGAACTAAGGAAGGTCATGCAGCTGCAGCGCAGGCCACCGGGAGAGGAGAGCTTTTGATTTGCGGGTCATCCGGGAGTGCAGGAGGCCCCTCACTCTCCCGGTGAGTCAACTAAGAATGGAAGGGGGTGGGAGTGCTTCTTACAGGGAAGACCTGAAACAGCTGGAACTTAGAGATGTGACACCCCTTCTGCCGTCCGTAAATGGGCACGGGCACCGCGGTGTTTTTCAGGTACTGAGAAAACAGCGTGATGAGGAAGATGGTCCTGAAACAGAAGCCACACCCGACCTGGTGAGTTGGGGACCGTCCTGAGCGAGGGCGCAGGACGCTGAGCCACCCCAGCGGCAGGGTCCCCTTCTAGGCCCTGCTCTGCAGCGCAGGCAGCGTCCTGCTGTCTCTGAAAAGGAGGGGACATTCCCTTTCAGAAGCTGCTGGTGGCTGAAGAGGAACAGTGGGAAGGGGGGCTGGTGTTCTTTGGGGGTGGCAGCTGAATGGGTACAGCGGTTACAGCCAGCGAGACCAGGGCCTGAGACCGTCCCCTCTCCCAGGTCATTCTACAGGTACTGGTGGTCAGACCACAGTGGACGGAGTGAATGACAGCATCCGGTGTCATCCTCAAGTCCCTTCAAAGCTCTGTTGAAATGTTTACAGCCTCTTTTTCCAGGAAGCCCTCCCGATGCCCCCAGCTGGCTGTCACCACCCCTGCCCCTGAGCACGCCTGACTTTCTAACTCTTGTCACTGTCTCCAGGTGTATAAGTCTTCTCTCTACGACACTGTAATGTGCCTGACTTCTGAGGCCACGTCTTCGCACCCTTCCCATGAGCCAGAGGCTTAGAAACATTTGCTCAGTGGAAACCTAGTAGGCAGGGGACCGGCTGTATCAACTGACTGTGAACCCTACAGAGTCGTCTGTCCTGCCTGTGGTTAACTCATTGTCTGCGTGTGCTCACGACATCATAAATAGTGGTGATAATAAATTATAAGCAGTCATTTGAGTACTTTCCAAAGCATCATAATGTTCATGAAAATATCTGTAAACCCCAGAGTTGGCCTCTTATTAGTTTTACTGGGTCACCTTCCACCAAAGGGAACTTGAACGGCACTCCCTCTGCAGAGAGGACTTACAAGGCGGCGATCCCCCAGTGGGCCCCGGCATCATTGCCCGCATAATCGAAGAGAGGCAGGGCCACCAGGGAGATGGTCGGCGCGATGGTCAAGGGGCCGATGAAGCGCATGAGGTAGCCGAGAAGTCCCGAGAAGCCCACGAACATCTGGAAACAGGAAGCGACCATGATGACGCCCTGCAACTGAAGAGAAGCCGTGGCTCAGGCATCTTGAGGCTTGTGGCAGGACCGTGGGCCTCCGCCCAGCCCGGGCCATTCAGAGGCAGCGGGAGGGCCAGGCTGGACCACAAAGGACCCGAGAGAAGGAGAGCTCTGATCTCACTCCTCGCTTTAGTTCCAGACCACCTGTTGGACATTTCCACTTAATACGACCCTTCTCAGGGAGCAGCCCTTAGAAGTATCCACTGCCCAGAGTGATGCCCATGATGATGACTCTTACTTAATACTAGCATCACTTAGTGGTGTACTGAACATGTTTTTGCTTTATTTTTCCCTGTGTTCCTGTGTTCTATTGCAGGGCCTGCCTTTTTTTTTTTTTTTTTTTTTTTTTTTTTTTTTCCTGTAAAGGACCAGAGAGTGAGTATTTCAGACTGTGTGGGCAGTATGGGCTCCGCCACAGCTTTTCGAGACAGTGAGGGGACCCACGAGCCACACTCTGCTCCAGTAAAACTTCACGTATAGGCTCCGAAATGGGGGTCTCACGTAATTTTGACACGTGACGATCTATTACTCTTCATTTGATTTTTTCCAACCATTTAAAATATAAAACCATTTTTGGCTTATGGGCTGTACAGGAAGAGGCAACAGGCCAGATGTGGCTCGTTTGGCTGTGGTTCCCCGACCTCTGACCCACTGGACTGACTTGGTTTCCTTTATTGCTCCTTTTTTTAGTTTACTAGTCTGGATGCTCTAATTCCACTTTATTTCTGATAACTTTCCTTGCTTTGAAGTCTGCTCTTTCTAAAAGTCACATAGTGACTTCTGATTCCTTTTGATTAGTATTAACATGGTATATATTTTCTCCATCTATTTACATTTAATTTTCATGTGGCTTTATATTCAAAGTGGGTTTCTTGTAGACAACATAGAACTGGGTCTTTTTTTTTTTAATCCACTCTGGCAATCTCTGCCTTCTTCTTCTTCTTCTTCTTCTTCTTTTTTTTAAAGATTTTTATCCATTTAGAGAGGGGAAGGGAGGGAGAAAGAAAGGGAGAGAAACATCAATGTGTGGTTGCCTCTCACACACCCCCTACTGGGAACCTGGCCCACAACCTGGCATGTGCCCTGACCAGGAATTGAACTGGCGACCCTGTGGTTCACAGCTGGTGCTTAATCCACTGAGCCACACCAGCCAAGGCCAATCTGTCTTTTAATTGGTGCATTGAGACCAGTGATGTTCAAAGTGGTCACTGATGTGGTTGAATTAGTACCTACCCGATTATTCGTCGCTGTTTTCTAATTGTTGCCTTTATTCTTTATTCCTATTTTTGTCTTCCACTCTTTTTCTGCCTTTTGTGGTTTTCATTGAGCCTCTTATGTGATTCCACTTTACCTCCTTTCTCAGCATGTTCTCTTCTTTTTAAACAATTTTTAGTGGTTGTCCTAGGGTGTGCGATAACACTTGTAGCCAAGCCAAGTTGTTTCAAAGAACATGGCACCGCTTCACGAGGGGCACTGTGAGTACCTTCCAATAACACAATAACCCTCCCTCATCCCGCCCATGCATTGCGGTCATTTAGTTCATTCAGCTCACAGACGGGTATAAATAGAAATTGCCGTGACGCTGGGAGGTGAAGTCAAAACCCGTCTAATATGTTAGAGACTCAACTTGCCATCTCTTCTCACAGTTTTCTACTTTTTCTGCTGCCACCAATTCCTCAAAATAGAACCGTGGCTCCGTTTTACCTGCCCATTACCTCTCATATCCAGGTGGGTAAGGGCATCCCTACCGCTCCTATATTCATATCATTTTTATCTGTGGCCGGTATGGTAACACACTGGTGAGCTGCTGACCGTCAGCAGTTTCAAGACTTGAGAGGTGTGTGGACAACTCAGTGGAACGTGGAGAATCTACCTTAAATTCCAGTAAGCTGGCTCAGCAAGTAAATTCAATCAATCAATCCGTTAATAAAATGAGATTGAGCCATGGCTGGTGTGGCTCAGTGGATTGAGCACCTGCTTGTGAACCAAAGGGTTGCTGGTTCCATTCCCAGTCAGGGCACACGCCTGGGCTGCAGGCCAGGTCCCCAGTAAGGGGTGTGTGAGAGGCAACCACACATTGATGTTTCACTCCCTCTTTTTCTCTCTCCCTTCCTCTGTCTCTAAAAGTAAATAAATAAAATAAAATAAAATAGTAAAAAATAAAATAAAAAATAGAATGAGGTTGAGACTTGTAAAAACCTTCTGTTGTTTGTAGCACTGGTGAAAAGCAGTGGACCAGCAGATGGCGCTAAAGCACCAGAGAGGTCGGACTCCGGGTTGGGGCTCAAGGTGAGGAACAATTGGAGGCGAAGTGGAAAAAAATGAGTCTCCTGCCTTAGACCCCCCCGCAAGAGGAAACCCTGTCCTGGGCCTGTGTTTCAGAGCAGGGGTGGCAAACTTGGTCTGTGAAAGGCAGGATAGTAAATACTTCAGGTTTTGTCAGCCATATGAGGTTTCTGTTACATATTCTTTTTTTTTAAAACAGCCTTATAAAATATAAAAGCCATTCTTAGTTTGTGGGTAGTTAAAAAAATTTTTTAATGCAAACATATAGACCACAAGCTGGATTTGGTTCAAGAGCCATAGTTTGCTGACTCTGGCTTTAGAGGACTCTGTATATCACACCCCCTGAAATCAATAGTAAGTGTTGGAGAAGACATGGGCATTGCTCAGCACAGGGACAGCATGACTTGTGTCCCTAAACGTCCTCTCTCATCACTAATACTGCTCAAGTCCCGGGGGAACTGCTTGCCATAACTCTTGCTCACTGTCCTCAAAACACAGGTAAGGGCTTCTGAGCCTGGCGGAGGTTTGTGCTGCTGCGGTGTCGGAAACACACACACTTCATTTGTGGCTGGGATCGTAACATACAAGTGATCTGCTGACCAGGGAGTCTTTGAGCAGCCCAAGTTATTAGGTAGGAGAAGAGACAAATTAACTCGCCAGATCTTTCTTCTTGGCTAGTATGAAGGCAAGAGATGTGTGCAAAAGGAATTACAGTCCCCGAGAGGTCTGGAAAGGGAAACCCTGCCCCTGGCATGTGGCAGGGTGGGGTGAGCAAATCCTGCTTCTTCTTCTTTGCTTAGTTTTAATTTGAATGTATCAAATGCTAGTATAGGCTCAGTAGGGGCAGCAGAAACAAACAACAGCAAAACACAAACACAAAACAAACAAACAAACAAAGCCTCCCCAAACCTCGTGTGGTCTGCGGTTTATTCTATTGATCAGGCGGTAAGGCCAGGCTTCACTGAAGAAGAGCATCCCGATTTGGAAAATCACACGGCAACGCACAGCCTTCTGAGACTGGGCAATCAACCAGGCAAAAACCCAGCGCCCACCAGCTTGACAAGTGCCCTTTGTAGGGCTATCTTGGTCTGGAAGCACCTGGAACTGTTCTTTAGAGATCAGAGAGCCCTGTCAACCCAGGGCCCACCCTGAGATTTTAAAAAGGAAGCCCGAGGACTCAACTGGATCACTGAAGGGCACCACATCCGGGTAATCAGAGCACAGGCGCCTGCAAAAGGGCCGTTTTTCCAAGGGAAGAAGAACGGCAGGAGGTTCTAGTTGAAATTCACTAGCTGTAGGGCTCAGGCCTGCTGGCCATGTCCTTACAAGCACTGCACCCGCCGAGGTAGCAGGAGGGCCGGTGGTGAGGCCCCACACTGCAGGAGGACCAGACCCGTTCAAAGCCAGGTGCGTCAGCCCTGTCATGGGGCTGTCTGTCGTGTGGCAGTGGCCTGGAGCAGCTGCTCAACCACCCTCCCTTTAGAAGGTCATTACTCACGGGTCTGCCACTGGGCACTGTTTGGAATTAGACTGCTAGCAGCGAATGGCACCAAAAACTCTAGCCTCAGAGATCCCATATCATGAGTGATGTCAGAAAGACATTCGAATAAGGAAGAAGATGGTCATTGGCTGATTCAAGGGAAATAGTTATAGGCAGGAAAAGAAAAGGCGGTTGTACAGGAAGGATGCATAGGGTCCCCCCTTTCCTGGGGCAGGCGCTACAACACAAGCTAATCAAACTGCAGCAACAGAGACTCGGGTCCCACCATGTGGGTCTTTGAATTCAGAAAGCCCTGGGTGGAACTTTCCTACAGATGCTACGGAGAAATTGTGAGCCTGGAAGGACATGACCTGTAAACAGAAGGGCCTTGTGGGAGAAGTAAGGCAAGTCTGAATGCAGCCAGGGGACCACGCTACCTGGGATGCAGCGGACAGCGCGCACAAACCCATTCAGAATTGTTTCTGTGTGATCACACAGGTTCTCGGGCTGTGGCCAGCAGACCAGCAGTGTGATCTGGCAAGTGGACCGTGGAGAGCGCTATCGAAATTTCACGTTTTCTGGGACAGGATTTTTCAGTCGCATCTCAAATACCGGTGGCTCGTGTTGATGCCTCTCTGTTTCAAAAGAGGAGGGAAGTGTGACTTTCAATGCAGTCACTGAGGCCCAAGAGATGACACCTTGGGCCACAAGGCATACATACACAGGGTCACAAACAACAGAACCCCATATCCATCTGAAGTCACCGACGTTGTCAAAGCCAGGGCACATGCGCCCTTGGTGGGCGAATGTGAGGGTCAAGGGCCCATCATGGAGCCCGCAGGCTGCCTGTGCTGGATATTTCACAGAGCATGGGGAGCGTTGAATATTTTAAAAGCTGGTATTTACAGTGTTTCTGGTTGGAGCCTTGCCCATTCTGCAAGTGAAGCCCTGATCCAGATTGCTATCATAGCAAGACTGGAAGCACAGACGGCCCACACACGTAAGTATCAACTTATAAAACTCAAGGGCCACTTGCCACAGCACAGACAGGGCAGGAGTGAACCAAGAAACAGAATAGCAAGTGATCTTTTCACATTTCACATCATTTGCTAAAGGCAGTGAAATTATGGAAAAATTAGAATGGGTGTCTGGAACCACAAATGTGGGTGATGAGGGCACAAGGGGCTGGCTTTCCTGGGGAGGAGGGGGCAAGGTCAAGCTAAATGGGAGGGACAGGGAAGCAAGTCACCTGGGGAGCCGTCAATAAAGGACAGGCTGAGAAATGAGAGGGATATAGAAACACTCTTTTCCCAGGGGCAGGGATTTACTTGTGTTCCTTGAGACAGGAAAAATAGAAATGAACTGAACTGGACTTACTGGAATTCTGGTGCTACTTATGGGCTAGACTGAAAAGTGTGGTGGTTGCAGGATGGGTGTACCCTACCCGGTGGAGAGGATCCAGTGACAGTATATTTATTAAGTCATTTGAAAGCACCTTGGCGAAGGTCACACAGCAGGGCTCCGCGGTGTCCCTTTTGCTGCTCACTACCTGAAGGACAGTGGAGAAGGACTCAGAACCCTGACTTTTAACAGGAGCCAGGGAACGGGCCGAGAAAGGAGCCCCGAGGGGGGAACGGAAGAAGCCACCTGACAAATTACTTTACTAAATGATGCTACTTGTTCCCTTTATGCTAAAAATAAGTTGAGTTCTAGCCAGTGTGGCTCAGTTGGTTGGAGTGCTGTCCTGTAAACCAAAAGGCTGTGGGTTCAGTTCTTGGTCAGGACACATGCCTGCGTTGTAGATTCGGTCCCCAGTTGGGGCACGTGTGGGAAGCAACTAATCCATGTTTCTCTCTTGAATCTCTGTTTCTCTCCCTCCCTCCCTTCCCCTCTGCCTAAAATCGATCAGCATGTCCTCAGGGGAAGATTACAAAATATTAACAGATAAAATAAGTTGAAAACAATAGGATTATTATTTCTCAGCAATATTTCTAGATATGTCTTCAGCCTGAGATGAAGGATGGTGGCGTCAGGGTTGTTCTACTGAAACTGAAAGTCATCTCGTGCAGCTGGACCCCGAGTTGCTGGAAGGACAAGGAGGAGCGAACACTGTGAGTGTTGCTGGCACATCAGGGCACATTCACACCTGATTCAGATGGGTCACGGACTAATCGAGTTCATAGGGGAGAGAAAGTAAAACTAAAGCAATATTCTCAATTGGATCACTGGCTTGGAATGGGCAAGGAATGGGCAAGGTTCCAACCAGAAACACTGTGGATACCAGTTTTTAAAATATTCAACGCTCCCCATGCTCTGTGAAATACCCAGCACAGGCAGCCTGCGGGCTCCATGATGGGCCCTTGACCCTCACATTCACCCACCAAGGGCGCATGTGCCCTGGCTTTGACAACGTCGGTGACTTCAGATGGATATGGTGTCCGTTGTTTGTGAGCCTGTGTGTGCATGCCTTGTGGCCCAAAGTGTCATCTCTTGGGCCTCAGTGACTGCACTGAAAGTCGCACATCCCTCCTCTTTGAAATAGAGGGGCATCAACACGAGCCACCGGTATTTGAGATGTGGCTGAAAAATCCTGTCCCAGAAAACGTGAAATTTCGATAGTGCTCTCCACCGTCCACTTGCCAGATCACACTGCTGGTCTGCTGGCCACAGCCCGAGAACCTGTGTGATCACACAGAAACAATTCTGGGTGCGTTTGTGCGCGCTGTACAGCAGTGGTAGTAGTAGGCACTGAAATTTTTGGTTGATTCTGTTCCTTCTCATTGGTCAAATATAGGGCAAGAATAGGGATCTCGTACCATGTCCCCTCCTCTGACTTCCCCCCTCCTGTATGTTTCACCTACAGGGGATGAGATCATCACTGCAGCCACAAGGCCGTTAGAACCCTGAACATGGACTGGGGTGGGCTGCAGGATAGACCCCCGCTGGACTAGGGCTTGCTAGCTTGGCTCCCAGGGATATCTCGGGAGCAGACTCTGCTCTGAGTCCAGCAATGTTTTTGGCCCAGTTCCGGTGAGCCCGAGGGAGGCAGTGCCAAAGGCAGGTCTGAACACACCCTGTGCTGGAACCCCATCATTGGGTGGTGCTTGGGGAAATCTGGGCCTGCTCCGGAGGAGGTGGCTTGTGGCCTGGCTCCAGGCCTAGGTTGTTAAGGCCGACGGGGAGGGCGGTTGTTGGGCTTCCTAGAGATCTCAAGTGACCTGTACTCTCTCTTATAGGGCCCCACCCACAAGCCACCCTTGCCCCTTCAACCCCCATATCAGGGAGGATTGTAAAGTCTGCTTTCCCTTGGAAAGTGGCTCAACTGTCTGGAGAAAATCCTGAGTGTGCTGACTTCCTTATCTGCTGATTAGATAATCTGGAGCAAGGCAAACTTCAGAGTCTATGGTGGGGGGGAGCCAACCCCCCCCCAAAACAAATGGAATTATCTTCTGGAGGGAGGGCCCTTTGGAGGACAGGCTTCCCCTGCAAGGAACCCATCTCCGTTAGTGCACCAGCTGGCATCGTTGTGAGAGGCTGCCTTCAGCTTCAGCGAGTTTTTTTTTTTTTTGAAGGTTCTTCCAACCTGTTTGCCCATTTCATGATGGGTGATTTACAACCACGCTGTGCTGAGTTTTCAGCAGTTTTTGACCACAAATGGCATGACCCCCATGCCCCACCCTCCCTATTCACCCAATCTCTACCCAAGCGACTTGTTTCCCTGGATGAAAAAAGTCCACAAAGGGATACGTTTTGCTGACGTCAGAGAAGTGGAACCAAAAAAATGGCAGAAGCACTAAAAGGCATCCACATCGACGAGTTCAAAAACTGTTTTGAGCAGGGGAAAAAAAAGTCTCCATAGGCGTATCTTATCAAATGGAGAGTACTTTGAAGGTGACTGAAGTTTAAACATGTAAGAATAAATTCACTGTTTTTTATCAATAAATTCCAGGGTTTTGAGTCCCCTCTCATATATTAAGGCCACCAGTTCCTTGCCCCTGATGATGCAACTGGATTAAGGGTCAGGTTTCACAGCAGGTAAGCAAAGGGGCCCAGTGTCCCAAGTGGGCAGACTAAGCAGACAGCGCCCGCTACCAGAGTGGTACTGAGCCAGGGTGGTACTGAGCCAGGATGGTACTGAGCCAGGGTGGTACTGAGCCAGGGTGGTACTGAGCCAGGATGGTACTGAGCCAAGCCTAGTCCTGTACTTCTGTTTCTTCTTAATCAAAGCCCGCTGTGGGTACAGGCAACATTGAACTTGTGCATCTGTGAAAAACTTGTAGCAGGATGTCTGGAAAACTCATTGCGGTAACAATCTGCTCCTATTATCATCTCCACCATCACCATCATTGTCATCATCACCATTATCATCATCTTCATCAACACTGTGACATGTCTCTTTGTCTCTTTGCAGTCCCAGCACTTAGCACCACACTTGGCATCAACAATGACACTTGATGACTTCATTTAAAACCTCTCTGCCCCCTGGGGCTGGCAAGGAACATGCCCATACTCTTCCTCCTTAAAATACAGGAGTGTTTCCAAGCAAACCTAACATTCCCTCCCTCTTTTCCACCCTGGCAGCCCCGATCTGTCTCTTGCTCATCACCTTGCACAATAACTCCCTGAAACTCCCCCTTTTTATTTACTTATTGAAGTACTTGTGCCTTGACCTCCCACCCAGTCCTGCATATCAACGCACTGTTTTATCTGCAGCAGTGTCTTAACGCCCAGGGTCCTGCCCAGAGAGGAGCTGAACAGTGAATGTCAAACAGGTGAATCAACACAGCAGCCCCCATCCCCCATGTTGAGTAGCCCTCCACTCCACACATGCACTCACCCCCCCTCGTATCCGTTACCTCTCGGATCCTCTTCTGCCATTCCTCCGTGAATTCCGGAGAGCTGGTGTTCACTTGGCTGGCGTTGAGTGTCCACTCGGGACACTTCCAGGCGGGAAGAGACAGCATGGCCAGGGAGGGTGCCAGAAAAGCAAATGTCCCTCCCTGGAGAATGGGCAGCCTAGAGGAGAGGAAGACTACAGTTACCCACACAGGGCTTCAGCACTGGTCTGTCACCAGCCTCAACTAGGGGCCTCTTAGTCCGGAGTCCTGGCTGGGCTTAGAGGCAGCCTGCCGTTCTCAGTACACACGGAGTTCCTGCCAAGCCTCCACCCAGACCCTTGAGCCCTGCCAACCTTTGGACAGGTAGGAGAGGTGGGCAGGTGAGAGGCCAGCAGACCTAACCCCCGTCTGGGAGATGCAAGCCCAGGAGCAGACAGGCCCTGGGGAATAACTCGGAGACAGCACAGAGCTCAGGGAACTCGCTTCGTGGGGGCCGCGCTCTGCCCATCCCAGTGGACCTTCCCCAGGCCTGGAAACTAAGGCACACAAGGGGGACATGCTCTGACCAGCAGGCGAGGGCACACAGCCTGACACCTGGGTTGCCAGATTCCTGAGCATCTCCAGAAATGAACCTCAGTTCCAGGCCTCCACCTGCAGGCTCCTTTTTATCACATGGACAGAACGGGTTTGAGGTCAGTTAGCAGGGTGTACCCCCCACCCCCGCACCCACCCTCCTCCTCCCCCTGGTCAGCGCATCGCTCTGGCTTCCCTGAGATCATCCAGCTGCTCTCAGGGACCTGTCTTCCCTCTGAGGTGCACACGCCTGATAAGTCCCCCTCCAGCGAGCCCCTCTTACTGTGGAGGCACACCTAGTCTGCCCGCTGTGGACCTTCCAACGTGGGGGCGGGGAGGGGACCGAGGGACCTGGGTACCTTCATTGCGTTGGACACCGTGGCACACACCGAGTTCAGAGGGGCGTTTTGAACTCGGGATTTCCTGGAGACCTCTGAAAGAGCTATTCTGGAGGATGACTGAACACATTTTGTGAATGGAGGATACCAAGTTTGTGAAAGAGTGGCTCCTGTCTCAGTGGCCCCTGTAGCCCTGCTGAGCGATGGAATCAGCGGGGCCTGGTTCCAGCGAGGCAGTGGGTGGTGCAGGAGGCCCAGGCACAGGGAGGGCAGAAAGTGCAGGGTGGTCCCCACCCCCCAGCCACAGGCGTTGAGGACAACTGACCTAGATTTGCAAATCTAGACCCACAGGTCTCCAAAGGGGGATGGACTACACCGCACACGCAAAGCAGGAGCATGTGGGTGGTGGGAAGGAAGGTGAGAATAACGTGTTTTAACTTAAAAACGATGAGTCTAAGTCTCCTGGCAGAACAGAAAACACGCTGTACTCATCACCAAATCCCTTTCAAGTTTTAAAATATATAAATCTCTGTATGTGGGTATAACCAAAGAGTACATAATAAGAGAACTGTGGCGGGGCTATAACTCCATTCATTCAACAAATGTTTTTGGAGGACCTGCCAGGTGGCAGGCATTAGGTGCCATGGTGTTGGGGACACCAGATGAGTGAGACCGAGATCCCACTTATATTCTCATCATACATTTCTCCATCGGCCCTTGTTCCAGCGAACCAATGCCCTGCAGTGCCTTGCTCTCAGGGGTTGTTTCAAACACCTTGCAGCGCCCCCCCCCCGCCGGCACTGCCAGCCGCTGCCACAGCCATTTCTGATTCCCCGGTTCTGTGTGGGCAGGGAGTGCTTACTTTCCATTTCCATCCTCCGGCGCTGAGCCTGGGGCCACAGAACACCAGCCAACGCTGGATTTTATCATTTTACTTTTTAAAAAGTTTCATAGGCATGTAGTAAAGCTCTAATGAATGTGAATTTGCATTTCCTTAGCCGTGAACTAGGTGGACTCATTCGTGGAATTTTACGTCTGTTTTTCCTTGTGTATAAGCTGCCTACTGCTCACTGTATAGAATTTGGATACTGCCAGAGGTAAGAATTCTTATGCTTATGAGGTTTATTTTCATTTTTAAAAAAGGTTTTTTTTATTGTATGCAAAATTTGTCCCCAATTGAGACATTTTTAAGGGAGTATTTAAAAATTTGCAAGTAGATAAGCACTTTTCTAATTCTATTCATGTATAGTCTTTTGAGATACCTTTACATGTTTAGAACAATGCAATATATGGACTGGCTGCCTTTTCATAATGGCTAAATACCTTTCATGTTCAAGATGAAGTTCTCCATGCATTTGTTTCCGTGTTTTATCACGTCCTGCCTTTAGGTTCACAAAATGTGTCAATAAGTTCTTCACTATGCTGTTCTCAGACCTTCCAATTCTGTTTTCCATTCTTTCCTCTCCATCCCCCCACCCCATTTTGCAGAGAATAGGTCAAAACCAGGCTCGTGGTGAGGGCCCTCACTTGCTTGGCTCCTTCTAACGTCCAAGGAGGGGCCCATGTGCTCACGAGCCACACGCCTTCGTAAAATTTGCAAAAGTAAAAGGTTTCTGCCAAACTGGCTACCACTACTGTCTCTTTCCACCGCCACTGCCCTAACTCCACACCTCGCATCCGATGGTACTTTTGGGACCTGGGTAAGGGGAAGGTGAGCCCGGATAAATTTAGTTTGAATGTAGTGGGACATACTGGTGTGGGTGAGACCTCTAAACTACCCATGAATAGTTACTTTCTTGCTAGCTATCTTGGTGTGATCACAGTGCCAGCCCACTCTACCTCATGACATGCAGGTGCAGGACCACAGGTCACACGATGATCTAAATGTGTCCTGTAGCACCTGGCACTGGACGTGTGTGATTGGTGGATGGGAAACAAGGTTTGCAATGTGTGAAGCCAGAACCATGTCGGTGGAAAACTTGACAATATGCTCAATTGCCGGAGAAGGGTTGGTTCTCACTGATATGCAGGGGAAAATGGAAGTTTTCTCCTATCAGGAATACCCTTAACAAGGCAGTAAGTACAATGATCAGGGCAGCATGCATTTAAGTTGTTTTCACAGGAATCACGTACAATAGAATTTATCAGAGTGCCTGTGTTTGAAGAACACAAATCAATACCATGCTACAGTCTGTGTGTGAGGCATGCTAACACATGCCACCGCTCAGTAACAACAAACCAATCTGGACCAGCCAATACCGGGGAATAACGGAGTCATCTCTCCTTCTCGCTCTAAAACGAGGCAGTAATCAAAGAGCGTGCAATCACAAAATGTGGCGGGGACAGTCTTATAGTGAACTGTGGGAAAATGAAATAATAAAAGATAGCAGGTTGTGTTTTGGAATCTGTGGCATTTATGATGTTAACCTCCTTTTTAAACATTTTGTAATGCGTTGTGATTTTTCTTTTTAGTCTACGTGAACATTCTCTTTTTTTGGTACATGATTTTTGCATTCATAATTTTGTGTCCTTTTTCTTAATGAGGACACCCAAGCCTGTATACTCTTCAGGCGGTCCTCAGACTAGCTGCTAAATCAGTGTTAAAGGAAGAAGACAACGGGACCAGCTGATTTGCTAGGAAAAGCCCAGAGGACCTGCAGGGAGGTATTTCCCAGGAAGACAGTAACTGGTAACCAGTAACTGGATGGAGCAGGTTCTTGGGATTCAGGGGGAGCAGGGGGTGGAGGGAGAGGATGTGAGGAGACATGTGGAAATTGGGGGGAGGAAGCTCCAAAGACACATTTTCCAGGCTTCCTGCCCAGTTCTGTACAGAGCAACAGGACTGCATTATACTCAGGCTGAGCAGAGCAGCCTGCATATCAACATAAAGGACTTGATGGTTTTTTTAAAAAAAAGGAACTATAGTCATTATACCAATCGATTATCTCAATGCTCCTGTGAGGGAGCAGGGCACATATCATCATTTGCCTGCTTTGACAGGTGCCAGAGCACAGATCTGGTTCAGCGAATGTCCATTGCCTTGTTTACTCAGAACAGAATTCATCTTTCCTGCTTCAACTCCCATCCTGCCTTAACGAGAGTTGCCGCGTTTGCTCCCTTTGTAGGTCCAGGGTGGGGCATTTGCCTTAAAGTGTGCCAATCAGAGCTCTTCCCTGGAATTTTGCAATGTGAGGCCAGCCAGAGCAGTACTTGCTTGCTTTAGGGGGTCACTGCCAGCGGCCCTGCCATAGCTGGAACAGGAAGACTGTCTGCAAGAACAGGCCGTGGTGGGATGATGAAGAGACAGCCCTTCCCTCGTGTAGGAAAGGGGAGCACCCCGCACTTAGCCCAATGTTCTAGTGGGCCTCACTCTGGTCTCCTCCGGGGAGGTGTCTGTAGGACCAAGGAGACATGCCCACCTCAGTCCATATGCCCTTCCTTTTTGAGTCCTAAGAATTCTCTGCTCAAATGGCTCTGAGCCTCTTCCAGACCCAGCCTGGGTCCCTTTCCCAGGTGTGTCCTGCTGAAGGCAGACAATGGGGCATGTGTGCACAGCTTAGGCCTGAAGGATGGCTAGGGGGGAAGCTGTTTGGGGAACCTGGTGGGGGGCAGGGGTGTATGGATGGAACTTCAAGGTGCAGCTTGGTGTGCCCACGTTCATGCATGCAAGACCATTTGTGATCCAGAGCAGAGCTTGGGGAGGGAAGAGAAGGGGGAAGGCTGTGGGCTGGGGGCTGCCCCCCCCCACAGGATCCAAAGTAGAACTTCAAGGAGTCAGAGAATTCTAAACTCAACCCTAGCCTCCCAGGTAAGATGATCAGAACATATTTTATTTAAGGGTTTGTAAGCTTGGCTTATAACTCTCCAGTTCTTAGACATGGAGAGTGTGGGTCTCCATTCGTACTCCTAGCCTGGGTCTCGCCAATATTAGGGGCATGTCTGAGATGCAGAGAAAGTCCCAGTGGCATCTGAGCCCCTGGTTCAATGTGTTCCTGATGTGTGATGCACCCTGCCTTTCTCTTGGCTTGATCTTCTAAGTTAATAAAGAACAGTTTTGCCTAAGTTAATCTGGATTCATGCTACTCAAATCAAGATTCCTAGTTAATATACACAGTAAGTGGAGCTAGGACTCGGACTCAGGCTCTGACTCCTAGCCCTGTGCTCCCTCTATCATGCTCTACCAGCTTCCTAACCGCCTCTCTGGCCACCATCCAAGCACACCTTGTTGACAGAGAAAAGTCAGAATCCACGCTGAGGTGTTGTACTTACCTGACTCCTAAAAACACTTGCAGGAGAGTGCAGATGCCAGAGACGAAGAAAATGGTGCTGATGAGGTAGCTCTGGGTGAGGGGGTCATGCTGCAGACACAGGTCCTTGGCCAGGATGAGCGGCACTGCCACGAGCCCCCCCAGGGCTGTGAGGAAGTGCTGTGGGCAGAGGAGAGCAAATAGGCAGGCACGTGCATGCTGTGGTTGCCGGCTCCACCTTCACCCCCAGTTCTGCTGCCAGAGGCCAGAGCTCCACCTCTGGTCTCAGAGGGGCCGTTGGTTACTGACAGGCAGAGGTCCAAGCAAGTGGGGGGAACTAGGAAGTCCTGGCAACGAGAAGCAGGGGACCAGCCAGAGGGTCTGGGGTTGGAGGGTAGGACTCTAGTGCCTGGGACTGATATCCCAGGTAAGAAACCAAGGAAGGAACATAACACAGGAGGACATAACAGGAACCAAGGAGAGAGCTTTAAGAACAAGGTGCCCTGGCTGGTGTAGCTCCGTAGACTGAGCAGGGGCCTGCAAACCAAAGGGTCACCAGTTTGATTCCCAGTCAGGGCACATGCCCGGGTTGCAGGCCACACCCCAGTATGGGGTACACAAGAGGCAACCACACTTTGATGCTTCTCTCCCTTTCTTCCTCCCTTACTGCTCCTCTCTCTAAAAATAAATAAATAAAATATTTAAAAGAAAAAAAGCAATAGAATTATAAATTAAAGAAGAGCCATTACAATGAATACAAAGAGATAAAAAAGTACCACAAGACACAAATTGGATAACCTAAAAGAAATGGATAAATTCCTAGAAACATACAACTTACCAAGACTGAATTATGAAGAAACAGAAAACCTGAACAGACCAATAAGTGAGACATTGAATCAGTAATCAAAAATCTCCCAACAAGAAAAGCTCAGGACTAGATATTTTCACTGGTGAATTCTACCAAACATTTAAAGAAGAATGAACACCAATCCTTTTCAAACTCTTCCCAAATAATTGAAGAGGAGGGAACACTCCCAAACTTATTTTATGAGGCCAGTACATAATCCTAATACCAAAGCCAGATAAGGACAATGCAAGAAAAGAAAACCATAGGCCAATATCCTTGATGAATATAGATGCAAAAATTCTCAGCAAAATACTAGCAAATGGAATTGAACAGTACATTCAAAGGATAATATTGAATCCTATGCATTCAACATGGAAACAACTGTTGAAGATGGAAAAACTTCAATGCAAGATCAACAATGAAGACAAAGAGAAAGTTCTTGACAAGCGCAGTGAAATCATCACTGGTTTGCTAAGAACCACACTGCAGGAAAGGAAGAATCTGAACATCAGCAGAAGGAGCTGGAAAAAGCCTACCGCCCCAACATCACCAAGCTGTAGCAGAGTGTGGGAGGCATGACAGAGGAAGGCCTGGGGCTTCCCTGGGCAGGAGGCAGGGGCCCTTCATCTCGTGGTACCTCTGCTGGGCCCACCGTCAGAGGCTGACTAAGCCAGCCTAGAGCAGAGATTTAGCATTGTCCCATGCAAAATATTAAAGGACCCAAATTTGGAACAAATTCCACAGCAGTTTTAATAGTCGAGCTGTTGCATAGTTAAATAATTTGGCATTCTTGATACCTGAATACAAACTCTGGGCACAGGGGAAGAAAATAGTGTACTCCATGAGCACTGCATTATAAAGTAGAAAATGCGATGTCTTTAATAAGACTTTTTAAAATTGGCACCAAGAAAAAAGGGATCATATACCATGACCAAGTGGGATTTATTCCTGGAATAAAAGGATTGTTCAACATAACAAATCAATAAATGGGATACACTACATTAATAAAATAAAGGCTAAAAATTCCATGATTATCTCAATAGATGCAGAAAAGCATTTGACAAAATTCAACATCCTGTCATGATAAACTATCTACATTATTCATTTTATTGGCTCATAATATTGTCAAAATAGTGTGACATTTGTTCTTCTTATTTTATAGAAAAACTGTGGGGAACCACTTTGTGTGTCAGGGAATGTAGCTCAGCCTTCACGTGGAAAACCAGTGAGGAGTGAGTGGGACACAGGACCACACCCACAGAGAGGCTTTCCCGTGGGGAATCAGGCCTGCATTGTACCTAGACTGCTATGAGACTTGCTTTTGCTAAAACATTCTCACCCTGAATTGAGGCAGAGAGTGCTTACTGTCACTTCCTGAAGTGTGTGCTAAACCTCCCAAGTATGGAGTGTGACTGGATCAACCACTTTTCCCCTTGGTCTGCAACATCCTTCCCTTTGAAGTAATTAGCAGCATTCTTTCCTTTGTTATCTGTAAAAGGTAATCCCCTGCAGTGAACCTGTGCATAGTAAATGAGGACCACCCTCCATGTAATGTACCCAGAAAAGCAATAAAAGCCTTTCCAGGCAGGGACTGGGGGCTCTCTGGCCCTCTGGCCCCCTCTCTCTCTCAGAGAGTGGCCGTGCCGTCCCTTTTTCTCCACAGGACTTCTGTTGTTCTTGTGTATTTTTTCTCAAGCAGCCACAACACACACGGATCCTGCTGGCCAGGATCCGCCGCACAGAATGTATATCCCTTCCCCAATATTCCACATGGAACAATTTGTGAAATTAAAAGAAACACATCAATGAGTTTAGAAAATTCATGCTATAAAAAAATTACAAAATAAAAAGTGAAAGTTGAAAGCTACCTCCTTTTCCTAGTTCCTCATTCAAAGGTTAAGTAACTTTACTAGTTTCTTGTGAATCCTTCAAAACATACAAAATTATTACATATACTTATTTCTATCATCCTCTTTTTTGTTTGTTTTTAACACAAAAAAGATCACACTACACATGGTTATTTACTTAGCTTTCTTTCCCTTACCATATTTTGGAGAATGTTCCCTAACTTCAGAGTAAATATATATTTCTGTTTTTAACAGCTGCATAAAAAAGTGATTCATTAGGTCTTATCCAAATTTACTTAACTGGTTCCCAATGATGGATATTTTGGTTGATTCTAGGGTTTTGTTTGTTTGTTGTGTGATTTTTAATTTACTATTATCAATAATGCTATAAGAACATCTTTGTACTTATCTTACAAGTCTTTTCAACATGTCCTCATAGAAATTCGTAAGCACTGGGGCCTGAGTTAAAGGGAGGAGGTCTGTCCAGAAAAAGTCTAGTCATCATTAATATAACAAGAGTAGTTTGCATGACATTGATGTAACTGGGCAGCCAAGGAGAGTGGACTGGAATGCACATGCGTGAACAAGGATGACTTCACTGTACTAGTCAGTGAGGGCAGTAGATACTGCTGAGTGAGCATGTGGACTGTGTGGCCATCACATTCACAATGATTGAGTACAACAAATCTGCATCAAATTTTGCATTAATTTTGAACATTCCTCCACTGTATTCGGAAGATACAGAAGACTACAGCTATGGGCAATTGGTGATTGGCAGCTTCATCATGACAATACACCCACTCATGCATCACGTCTCATGCAGAGTTCTTTGGTGAAACATCAAATCACCCAGGTGACTCAGGTCTCCTACAGCCCAGGTTTGGTGCCCAGAAACTTCTTTCTTTTCTCAAAATTAAAATAAGCTTTGAAAGGGAAGAGATTTCAGACTGTCAATGAGACTCAGGAAAATACAACGGGCAGCTGATGGCGATTGGGAGAACTGTGTGAGGTACCAAGGTGCCCACTTTGAAGGGGACTGAGGCCTCATTGTCCTATGTACATTGTTTCTTGCATTCTTCTTCAACAAATGTCTATTTTTCATATTACATGGCTGAATACCTTCTGACAGACTTTGTATGGGTTTTACTTGTTGATAGAAATCACCAAATTGTCATCTAGAAAGGTTGTACTAAATAATATTCCAACAAAAGTGTTTGAGAGTGCATTTTTCTCCAAATTTCCCAAGCATTGATTATCAAACTGTTTAGTTGTTGCCAATCACATAAATTAAAGTTAGTATCTATTAAAAAAAGTCCCAGTCAGTGTCTTTAGTGTAACCTAACCAGCTGAGCATGAGAGAGAAGCCTCCCTGATTCCTTCTATCACCCCCAAACTCCTGAACAAAGAGAGACCCGAGAAGCCTTGAGTTCTTCTGAAGGGACACTATTACACATGGAAGGCAAGAGTATCCACAACTGCAGTGTAGATATTGAGCAATTTGACTGGAGTGTGTATTGATGTGGTTTTTGAGGCAGAGCCTCTTTGGACCCAATGCTTGCTGGCATCTTGGCATTACCTGGATCCCCAAGAAGATGCAGAGATACCATGGTGGGATGTCCAAGATGCCATAGGCCAGGCGGGTGCTGCTGGGACTCTCATTCTGGCCCTCCTTCTTCCTCCCTTGGCCAGCGTCATGGAAGATGAGAACGCCTTCACCCCTCTGCTCAGAACAAGAGAAGGACACATCTGGGCATTTCAAAAGGAATCGAGTGGACTTCCTGATTTCAACTGTGCAAACGAACATCCTTTCAGAGGTGAGAGGCAATGAGAAAAGGATGACTATTGGCCAGCTTGGGATTTCTGTCTGGGTCCAGATTCAAAAGACCGATGCTTTTCGGTATGACACCTCTGCAGCAGGGCCTCCCTGCGAAGTCTGGGCGCATGGACCCAGTCTGGGCGAGTGGATGCCATGCCCAAAGCCCTGGCAGAGAAGAAGCTTTGTGCAGGAGGGGATGGGAGTCAACGCCAAGGTCAGAAAAATGGGCAGGTTTTCTTTCCAGCCAATCAGGAAGAGGGGGATCCTGGTCCCAGAGTAGTGTAGCTGCCCCAAGGCCCTGTGTTGACATCTGCCGAAGCCCTCATCACAGCATGTTTATTATGATGGACAGTTCCTTATCCACGTCTTCTGCCAGGCTGTGAGTTCCTAGAATGCATTGATGTGCCTCACTCATCTCTGTTGTTCCGGTGGTCCTTGTGCCCAGCATAGACTGAATGAATGGTGAGTGATGGATGTTACACACAAACATGAATGAGTGCAGTGCCCAAGGGCTGCTCTGGGGGCGACTTACATTCCTTGTACTGGTTTCACCAAAATTAACTATGAATTCTAAATGTTACCCTCCAAGCTACTGGCTGTATAATTTAACTGACCTTGAGCAAATTACTAATATTTCTAAGCCTCAAATTTCTGATTCATAGAACAGAAATGTCATTAACACCTACTTTCTAGTTAGTGGAGAAAATGAAATGAAATCTTGAAGAAATGGGGAGATTTTGATCAGAGGATGCAAGCAGATACTATAAAGATGAATAGGTTCTGGGGATCTAACATACTCCATAATGATTATAGCTAATAACACTGTATTATGAACTTAAAAGTTGCTAAGAGAGCAGATAAATGCTCTCAGCACAGAAAGGAAATGGTAATTATGTGATGTGATGCAAGAGTTAGCCAATCTTCAGTTGGTGATCATTTTGCAATACATGTGTACCAAGTTAACGCACTGCACACCTTCAACTTATACAATGTCATGTGTCAATTACACCTCAATGAAGTGGGGGACAAAAGGGACCAAGAAGCACATGGTCCCATGCCTGGCATAGGGTGTTGTGCAATAATTATTCATTGTTATAATTACAAAGAGCTCCTGGTCTCATGTTTTGAAGGCTTTCAACGTGTGCCCAGAGCTGATGTCTGAGCATGTAGCTGGGGGTGGCAGGAGCATGAGAACAATGTCCCTGGTGTGGTCAGGAGGTGGCAAGGCCACCAGCATTCAAGTCAGGCGACTCTAGCTGATGTGCCCCAGCGGGATCCTGGGTCCTGGGTCCTGGTCGGACCTCAGAGTGAGTTGTCTGCACAGGGGCACGGCCAGCGCTGCCCTGAGGCATGGCAGCCCTCTGATGGGGAAAGCTCTCCCTGGAGAAGGTTCCAGACAGAGCGTCCACACCCACCTCTGTGCCTAAGCACCCTCTACCTCAGCACTGTCTCAAAAAATGACTCCTGACCAGGGCTGCATTATGAGCCTCATGGGCTCTGCACGGTTTTACTCTATGAGCCCCTTCTTCCATAAAAATGCATATATTTCCTGACTACATTTGTATAAAGACATATTTCTTATTATATATTAAAACATTTTCCCAAAGGATCGTGGTTCGATTACCAGCCGGGGCACATGCCTGGGTTGCAGGCCAGTTCCCAGCAGGGGACACATGAGAGACAACCACACATTGATATTTCTCTCCCTCTCTCCTTCCCTTCCCCTCTAAAGATAAATAAATAAAATCTTAAAGAAAAACATTTTCTTTGATATAAAAGTTCCATTTTTTTCTTCTGATTTTTAAAGAAATGATACCATTTTCTTGGGGCCCCTGGAAGAACTGTGGGCCCTGGCACTGAGGCTGCCTTCTGCAGAAGTGGGAGGAGGGGCGGAGAGGGGATCACTGTTTGTTAGAAGTGAGGAGAGGCAAGAAAGCTGCCAGATTGAGAACTGGGTGGCTGTCCTTTATCACCTTCAGGATGTCACTGGTCCCTGAAGGGAACTTTATTCCAAGACAGGGGTCCTCACCCTCAGCACCACAGACATTTCGGGCAGGATATTCCTTTGTTGTGGTGTGTGTCTGTGTGTGCGTGTGTGACTGTGCATGGGGTTGGGGCTGTCCTGTGTACTGCAGGGTGTTAAGCAGGACTGTGGTGACTCTTGCTGACGGTGGGTCGGCCAATCTACACAGCACAGCTCTGCAGAGTCATTTGTTCCTGGGATTCTGAAGAGCACTTGCTCACCAGTCTAATATTTATGTCCTGAAACATAGATGTGAGATTTGTGCTTCTGCTCACCTATTTAGTGATGGCTGGAAGCATGCATTGCTCACCTACTCCAGGAAGCCTCCCCTGATTATTTCCCCCTATCCTGGCCTCAGACTAAACCAGGTCACCCCTCCTCTGAGGCGCCTACAAAACCATGGCCCCAACATGCCTCACTGTAATCATGTTTATTTGTCCAAGAGACTGTAAAGTTTCATAACGTCTCTATCTCTAGCATATAGTTAGCCCTCATAAAACTGTCTGTTGACTGATGAAGTAAATGAATGAATGTAGAAGTTCATGACTATTGAGCATTTTCTCATTGATTTTTTTAAATCCCTAACTGATTGGACCTCTTCTGAAACATCATGCTTCTCCTATTTAGATTTCCTAAAAGAAGGGTGCTGCTTGGCACTTGGGTTGCACGCGAGGCTGTTTTTGCCTAAGGAGGTCAAAGCCAAACTGCAGTGAGACAAAAGGATGCTGGAGGGAACTCGGGACCCCTGACCACTTTTGGTGAGGCTTCTGTGCAGGTAGGGAGGATTCAGTGAGGGCAACGAAGGTTAAAAAGAGGCTGACAAAAAGAGGAGAGAAGGAAGGAAAGAGGGACTGAGGGATCGTTTGGGTTGGTAGGTCGATTCCGGGCAGGTTACAGAGCAACTGAGCACACCGTTTGAAGTTGGGCCGATGTGGTCTCTTGGTGTCCTGCTTGGGGGTTATAAGTGCATCACCTCGCCTCTCCCAGCCTCTGTCTCCCCATCTAAATCTGGGGTGGTGCAAGGATGTCTGCAAACCCCAGCGAGCACAGAGCCTGTGGTACCCACCGTGCACCTGTACATGAATTCACAGGGTCGAGGCTGGTACAGCTGCATGTGTTCTGCCAGGAGCTCACTGCCAGCCTCCCCAGGATCTCTCCAAGCTCCCAAGAAGGCGAGAGAGAAGGAAATATGGGTGGGAGGGGGCACTGCTGGTCCTGGCCCTTCTTGTCTTTTTCCCTATTAAGAGCCAATGACTCAAAGATTGTTCTCAGCATGGTGAGCTCTGAATATTCTGTCTGGGTATCGACTTGGACCCTCTGCAGGTTATGAACACCACTTCTACCTCCACTTTAAAACAATGTCTGGGGAACTGACCTTGCATGAGGTCCAAATTTTTTTTTTTAATTATAACGTGGATCTGGGGGATACGTGTCTTCCTTGAGAACCGCTGGTTCTTCCTGTCTGATAAGAGTCTGTGATTCTCTGAAGCCCGCTGGCCAAGGCCGCTGAAAACACAGGGCCGGATCAAAGTGACTTTTCTGGTAAACCACCTCTCCTTGATTACAGACATGGATGAGCGGGTACAGATTGTGCCTGCAGGGTCCTGTGTGGCCCAGGGGGATCATTAGCACACTAAAGGCCTGCACAGAAACAAGCGACACCCCAGAGACATTGCAGAGCAGTGCTTCCCAGACGTTAGGAGAGGCACCATCTCGGAGCCTGTCCCATTATAGGGAGCGCCTTCAACACTGGGGTGGGGAAGCCCCTGCAAGGAGAAGCCGGTGCATGTGACTTGCTGCAGGAGGAGGAAGCTTGCAAGCCCACTTCCGGAGGAAGAACAAAGTCTTTTTATTTTTACTTTGCCATAGGACATCTGTATAGTTTTTTTAGTAGCTTTTTTGTAAATTTTCCTAAATTTAATTGTTGTTCAAGTACAGTTTTCTGTCTTTTACTCCCATCCCAGCTCACCCCCCTAGTATCCCCCACCTCCCTCCCATTTCCGCCCCTGCCTTTTGTTTTTGTCTGTGTGTCCTTCATACTTGTTCCTGTAAACCCTTCCCCTTTTCCCCTGAAATTCCCTCCCCTCTCCCCTCTGGTCACTGTCAGCCTGTTCTCTATTTCAGTGTCTTTGGTTATATTCTGCTTGTTTGTTTGTTTGTTTTGTCGTTTAGGTTCCTGTTAAAGGTGAGATCGTATGGTATTTACAATAGCCAAGTGCTGGAAGCAACCTAGGTACCCATCAGTAAATGAATGGATCCAAAAACTATGGCACATTTATACAGTGGAATTCTATGCAGCAGAAAGAAAGAAGGAAGAACAAAGTCTTAATGAAGCACCCCTGCTTCAGGAAGAGGGGCCACACCTCTTCCTGTGGGAGGTGACTTTACCAGCTCAGCATGTGGGCTTGACTGAAAGAGGCAGTCTGGTGAGCCTTGCCGTTTGTCCTGCTTTGCAGTTTACAAGCAGCTTCCAGCACACCCTCTCTTTTGATTCTCACCACCACCTTATCATCCCGGATTCACAGACATGAAGACTGAGGCTCAGCGAGGCTTGTCCAAGGTCCCACTGTAAATGGGAGAACAGCGCCCTCCTCTTTTGGTGCCTAGGGCCATTGCCTGTAGTTTTGTCCCTTGTGCATACAGGGACAGCCCTCCAGCTCCCTGGTGCAGACAGGCAGAGCAGGAGACTGGTGTGGGGACAGCAGCGGTGGGAACATGTGGAGTTCTCGGGGGCAGTTGGGATCCCTTGCCCTTGGACGCCATCCATACCCCACATAGCCTCCAGCCCCCACCCAACCCCAGCCAGGTTCATTTCCTAACGCTCCCATTCGCCTGGCTCTAGCCAATGGGATTACCCTGTTCTCTCCAAGTGTGGCCTCCATTATCCTGCTTCAGTGCCTTTGCTCACCCTGTGCTCCTGACTCGCGGCCCCGCTCCTCAGAGCTCACTGTCCCCTCCTCCATCACCTCTCCCCCGGGGTCCCACCCTGTATGACTCTCCTCCCTCGCACTCCCAGCACCTCTCGTCCCCCTGTTACATCATTAACCAGTTTCTCCCTTGTATGAGAAAGATTTCTGGGTACCCCCCTTTTCTCTAGCTAGGCCATAGGCTTTCAGGGTCGGAAAGCTATCTTCCCTGGGTTTACATCACTAGATGTTTCCAGCAGAGCAACATGGAAACCAAAAACATTTCAGAGGAGTGACTTCTCCATCTGGGTGCTGGCGTTGAGGATTTGAGGAACATGAAGAGAAGATGAACCACTGAACAGGAGATGAGTATGTGCCCTGTTCACTCTACGCTCCAACTGGCCTCAGGTAAGTCAAAAATGTAGAAAACATCACAGCCTCCAGAAGATGAGGTCTTCAACTTATTTCCCAAGATTTGTTTTGTTTTGTTTTGTTTTTTTAGCTTCCATGAAGTAGCAACAGAAATTATTCTGAGGAGAAAGAATGAGAGTTCCCTCAGGTGTCTGCCTCACCCCAGTGATTTTCCAGGAGAGAGCCAGGGCCCCCTCTCTATCAGAGGCTGAGCAGCAGTGACCAGTGTCGAGCAGACTGGCTCCAGGGGACAGCTCTAGAGCCCAGTCCAGATTTGTGGGTGGCACATGTCCCAAAGACACTTGGGCTAGACCTCATTAGGGCTGCAGCCCCAGACTGGGGTGGAGGGGAGGTCTCTTTCCCCCTGTGGTGGGCAGTGGCAAGAGCAGAGGGTCTCCACTCAGGTCCTGCTGTTACTTTCAAGTGGCCAGAGTAGGTTGGAGAGGTCCTAGGGCCAGGGCTCAAGGACTAGGCAGACAAGCCTCCAGCTGGGTTACCCGAACTTTCCTTCTCTGGGCTCTCCATCTATAAAATGGGAGCAGAAGAGCCTGCTTCATGGACTTCAAAGGGACAAAATAAAGTACATAAAGTGCCTGAGGATTTTAGTAAATATCAGTTCTCTTTCTCTTTTCTTCTCTCTCTCTCTGCTTCCCACTCTCCTTCCCTTTGATTTGCTTCAGAAAGGGCTTCTGATCATTTCTGAGAAACCCACATTCAGTTTCGACAGAGACTAACCTGTGTGTAAAGGTAAAGCACAGGGTTTTCCACCTTTTCCTCCTTCCTTTGTGACCCCTTCAGAGGTCAGCTCTCAGGGAGGAATCTTTGCATCGGTGATGGCAGGTCCGGAGTATAGCTGCCACCCTTGTCTGATCATTGAAAATGTCATCTAGATCTGTGAGCCGTCATCCTTAGCAGTAGTAATGAATCAGGGCATTAGGAGTCCATGCTTGGACCCTGCACCAGGTCTCCTCCTTCCTCACTGCCTGCCCCCTTCTCACCCTTCCCTCTCTATTTTACCAGCACTCACCAAGGGGTCAGGGTGCTCACAGCTGGTGATGGCAGAGTTCATGGCCTCTTGGGGTCTTCTCCTTTGGGTCTCCTCTCAGGATAAAACAGAAGTGAAGTCACTCTAGTAGAGAAAGATTAACTTCTCAAAATCTGCCAAAATAATATGTGGAAGAGAAAGACAGAGACCCAGGGCTGGCTCTGGGGAGGGTGAGGCCTCCAAGCCCCGCCCTGACTGCTGATACATGACAGACTCCCCTCCAGCCCTTTTCCTGTATGATTACTGCAGGAGACCAAGGTGCATGATGTTGCAGTAAATGTTTTATAATTTGATAAGTTTGAATAATGGCAGAGAAGTTAATGATCCTCTATAGCACAAGGAAAGAAGTCAGGGCACAGCCCCTCAGGGTGTAGTAGGGAGACAGGAAAATAAGCTAGGGAAATTCTTGGCAAGTGGAATAGGGGAACTGAGACAAACAGCTAAACGTAATGCCTGAGCAATTTACAGCCTGGTGCAGTTGATCACCAGGGCATCTGGCAGGGGCAAAACAGGGCAAACAAGGATCTTACCCTCAGAGTAACCTCTTTTACCCTGGCCTTTTCTGCCTGGAGATAACATCTTGGCCTCAATTTTATTTTAACTCCAGGCCCTGCAAAGCAGCAAAGCCAGGTGGCAATGTCGAAACCAATTATAATGACCAAAGACACCCTGCCCTGGCACTGATCAATCAGAGGAGACCATGACCCTGACAGGGAATACCTGGAGAACTGATGAATATTCTGCTGAAACCCTCCCCTGAGACCTCCCCTAAGATTCCCGCCTGCAGGAGAAATAAAAGCCTCAAGACAAAGGACCTAGAGGTAGGTGCTTTCCCTCTGGAGAGTAGCCAGCACTGTTTTCCTTTTCTTCTCCCTACCCACACTTCTTTCTTCACAGGCATGCATCTCTTAAATTCTGAGGCAATGGGCAGCTGGCAGCATGTCCTAGGCGGGTCCCCTGGACTTGTCCCTGAAGCCCCCTTTCCTCTGACTTCTCAGTGAGCTAAGGCAGCCCGGCCGAGGCTCTCCTGTTGCTTCCTCTATGCTAAGCCCCTCCTTGTTTTACTGTCCCCAGCTTTAATAAATGTATCCTCATAGTCACTTGGACTCATGTTGTGAAATCTTTCCTACACAAAGTCAAAAATCCACACACTACACATGACCCTAGTCAGACCTACTCAGGGCCAAGTCCCCATCAACATAATATGGTGACCCAGATAGGACATTCCTTCTTGACCCTGTACAGCCAAGCTGGCTCACTTGCTGTGACTTGGGCTGTCTCATCATTGATAGAACGGTGGGATTCTGGAGAGGAGCTGACCCAGGACTGTCTCACAGACCAGGACTGTACTCGTTACTATAGAGGTCCATCGTGCCCTACTGGCTTCTCTGTTTGTGTTGGTTGAGCTTGGGTGAATTCCCACGGATTCTAGACGTCTCTGTTCTTATAAGGTAAGAGGCTGAGTTTATTTCATCTGTCTTTTTAAAAATCATTGAGGTAGAGCTAAAGGTTAAGTTTTGAGAAGAAGCCAAGCTAAGACAGGACAGAAGGGAAAAAAATGAATGCCTGATTTTGAACATTGGCTTTCAGTTGAAGTTGCTTTCTGATGGTCTTAACAAAGCCTTTTTCTGGATAAAGAAAAGTCTAAACTCAGTGGTTCAGCTCTGAGAATGAGGAACGCTTATTCCCTCTGGCTCAACTCGGACATTCTTGGGCAGCTAAGAATCTTTGAAGGGGAGGCAGAGACATGTGGGAGGGTTTGATGTGCAGACATGCAATTACTGAAAAAGCCTTTACGTACTTGCAAGTACTTACAAAAATTGGAAGATTTAACTAGACGTGACTGACTGAATATGGTCAAAATGCATCTCTTTTAATGTCTAAGTTAATTTTTGCATACAAAATTAGCAATGCCAGCTCTAAAACCAAATTAATGGGAAGCCTATCTTTATTACAAATTAGAAGCCCCTAGGAGGAACACAGGTCAATTAACACTATTATAGAAAATCTGTTTTCAGGGCAAACTCTGGCTGCAGCTGCCCCTGGGTCTGAGGTCTTGGTGACAGCCAGGCTGTTGTTAGGGTATTCAGGGTGTTCCTCAATCTTCCAGGCCTGGTCTGGGCCTTTCCCTTGGCGGGTCCTTTTTCTGGATGTGCTGGGGTTCTGTACCTCTTGTCTAGTTTGGTCCTTTCCCAAGAGCTGGGCTCTGCCCCTTGATGTCACTACTGCTGTGCATGCACCAGGGTTGTGCTGCATTGTCTGGTTCCTGATGCAGATGTACCTAGCAGAGGTGGTTTTTTTTCCTACTCCTCCTGCTTTTTTGATAGTCCTGATGCCTGGCTTTGGTTAAGCCCCAGAAAACTGCTTCTAGCCTGCCCGGACTATTAAATCTCAAGGACAGAGGACATGGCAGCCTCTGGGTGTGAATAAACCTGTAAATGCTATGATTTTCTTGTAAATCAGGCTTACGGAAATGCTGTGGCTTCATGATGAAGCAAGCTTGGAGTCTGATTCAGCTTCTCAGTTTGGTAAACTATGGAATTATGAAATAGGGTTTGCCAGGAAACTCTTGTGGAGAAGTCTGTTTCTATTGCAAAAACCAGGCCACCGAGAAGGAACTGTAGGAGACTGAAGTGAGATTTGGAAAGAAAAGGCAGGAATGGATGGGGTTGCTTGGGGGTGTCTCCCTTTCCTCCGTCTGATAGTTTGGGAGAGGTTGAAATTACCACGGAGGGGAAAGCTACTAAGGTCCCTATACATACTTTATCTGTTCTATTTTAAAATTATAGTTTAAAAAAAAACACCTTCTGAAATGAGACTCAGTGGTTTGGCTGAATTATTCATCAGGACTAGATGGTTGAGTTGGATATAACAATTCCATATCAAGATGATGATGCTTCAGGAATTCCAGCCTACCCCTCCTTTGGAAGAATCAGCCAACAGTTTTTCTGTTCCAATCTCAGATTCTATTCCTTTGTGTCTCTTAGATCAGACAGGAAGAGATTGCCATACCCTACACAGGCAGGGACCACAATCCTTGTCAGCAGGAAGCAGTGACTGAAGAGAAACTCTCCTCTCTCACCACCTCCAAACCCTGTGGAGGTCACAGCTGATTTGAGGGACACAAAGAAACTCTTTTCTTAAATATTGTTATGTACATTGGATGCATACATTCAGGGTCATGACTATTTGCATGTTTGTACATGACTAATGTTAAGCCATAACATTGAAGGTGTCAGAGTGGTTGTAACACATGCTTCATAAGAGTGTGTGATATTCAATACACGACCAACATTGTAATTTTTTTGACTGTGACCTCTGCAGGGTAAAAGATTTTAAGAATGGAGGTCTTGGAGGGGGAAATGAGACATGATAGTAAGAAGCTAGGAAAATTCTTTGACAAGTGGGATAGGGAAACTGAGACAGACAGCTGAACACGGTGGCAGAGCAATTTACAGCCAGGTGCAGATGGTCACCAGGGTGGAAGGCCTGAGTGCCCGGCAGGAGGAAAAACTAAGAAAACAAGGACCTGACCTCCAGGGCAACATTTACTCCCTGGAGATGACATCTAGGCCTCAGTTGTGTTTTAGCTCCAGGCCCAGAAAAGCAACAAAACCAGGTGAGTGACACCAGAATCAACTGCAATGACTACAGACGCCCTGCCCTGGCACTGACCAATCAGAGGAGACCGTGGCCCTGACAGGGAACTGATGAATGTTCTACTGACAACCTCCCCTGAGACCTCCCCTAAGATTCCCACCTGCAAGAGAGAGACAAAAGCCTCAAAAACCTCAAGACAACGGACTCAGGGCACGGTCTTCCTCTGGGGAGCAGCCCACACCATTCCCTTTCATTTCTCTCCCTGCCCCCCCAGCTGCTTTCTTCACGGGCATGCATCTCCTAAACTCTGAGGCAACGGGCAGCTGGCAGCACGTCTCAGGCTGATCCTGCCCCTAAAGCCTTCTTTCCTATGACTTCTCAGTGAGCTAAGGCAGCCCAGCTGAGGCACTCCTGTTGCTTCTCCTATGCAAAGCCCTTCCTTGTTTTACTGTCCCCAGCTTTAATAAACATACCTTCACAGTCCCCTGGACTTGTACTGTGAGATCTTTCCTACACAAAGTCAAAACCCCACACACTACGCATGACCCTAGTCCGACCCACTCTGAGCCACGCCTCTGTCCGGCAATAGGAGCGGCCACTAAAGCTCATGGGTGGGGCAAAGGCCTCAAGCAAGAGCTTGAGAAAAAATGCCTTTAGTCCTGGATGACTGACTCCGTTAACGCCCAGAAGTGTTTAATGACCCACCTTTTAGAAAGACAAATCCAGGAAAGTGTCACCTGACTCTCATTCCAGACCAGGCACTTGAAAGGCTCTATTCAAAACTTTTTTATAAACTCTACTTCAGCAAATCAAAAGCAAGCCAAGTTTCAGCTACTCATTGCAGTGGAATATTCTGGAATGGGCAGCACTGAATCTCAAGGTCTGGGGAACACATGGTGGGCTGCACGTTAACGTCAGCAGGAGCTGGTCCAAGAGGAAACCCTGAAAAACCCAACCATAAGTTTTTGACGAAGGTGGAGACAGACCTGATTTGGGCTATAACAGGAGAGAAAAGGTCAGAAGAGAGTCAAAGATCTCTAAGCAGCTGAACTTGACTGAACACTTAACCATGTTCACTGTGCTTCACCTTTTTTCTCTTGTCTTACCTAATGTTCACGGCAAACTAAACATTCACATCCTTATTTTGCAGATTGAGAAATTCAGGTGCCGATGGATTAGACTATTTGCCCAAGGTTCATAGCAAATGCGGGAATGGAAGTTCAAATCCAGACTGTCTGGCTCCACAGTCTGCAGGGTCAAGGACATGCCAGATGGACCCATGCAGGCCATGGGGGTCTGCAGGTGGGGAGCATAGGGCTCCAGGGGAGATGGCCCAGGGAGCGTGACCACGGAGGAGCCTGCTCACGCAGACTCTGCCCTTCCCCCAGGAAGGTCTTGCCTTTCCTGGCTTTGCCCTCATGCCACTTGCCTAGGTGGACAATGAAACTCCTCTGCCACCTGAGGTAACCTGGTGCAGGGTTTTC